CCTTGGTATTCCTTTTCATCCCTCTGTAGTCCCTTTTATCTCTCTGTAGTCCCTTTTATCCCTCTGTAGTCCTTAGTATTCCTCTGTTTTCCTTAGTATCCCTCCATGTAATCCTTAATATCCCCCTGTAGTCCTTAGTATCCCCTGTAGTCCTTAGTATCACCCTGTATTTGTGGTCCATATTATTCTTGTGGTTCATAGTATTCTTGTGGTTCATAGTGTTCTTGTGGTCCATAGTATTCTTGTGGTACAAAGTATTCTTGTGGTTCATAGTATTCTTGTGGTTGCTATTTTTTTGTGGTTCATATTAATCTTGTGGTTCATAGTATTCTTGTGGTTCATGGTATTCTTGTGGTACATAGTATTCTTGTGGTTCATAGCATTCTTGTGGTACATAGTATTCTTGTGGTACATAGTATTCTTGTGGTTCATATCATTCTTGTGGTACATAGTGTTCCAGTGGTTCATAGTGTTCCAGTGGTTCAAAGTATTCTTGTGGTTCAAAGTATTCTTGTGGTACATAGTATTCTTGTGGTTCATAGTATTCTTATGGTTCATAGTATTCTTGTAGATCATAGTATTCTTGTGGTTCATAGTATTCTTGTGGTTCATAGTATTCTTATGGTTCATAGTATTCTTGTGGTTCATAGTATTTTTGTGGTACTTAGTATCCTTATGGTTCATAGTATTCTTGTGGATCATAGTATTCTTTATTCTTGTGGTTCATAGTATTCTTATGGTTCATAGTATTCTTGTGGATCATAGTATTCTTGTGGTACATAGTATTATTGTGCTACATAGTATTCTTGTGGTTCATGGTATTCTTGTGGTTCATAGTATTCTTGTGGTCCATAGTATTCTTGTGATACATAGTATTCTTGTAGTTAATAGTATTCTTGTGGTTCATAGTATTCTTGTGGTTTATAGTGTTTTTGTGGTTCATGTCCATTGTTCATGTTCATTGTTCATGATAAATAGCTAAATGCATCAAAATTTATTGATTTGTTTATTTTCCTGAATTGTTTGGAATATCTAACACTGAAAACATACTGCAGAGCACGAAACTTAAGACAGAGATCGTAATGAAACCCAGTATCGGAAACCCGGTTTCAAGAATGGGGGTCAGGCAGTTTTGTAGATACCAATATCATTCCATGTGGTTTCTTTACGTTCTAATTTTATTTTCTGATTTTTTAAATTGAAATATACGCAAATACATACACCCCGAAATATACGCAAATACATACACCCCGAAAAGGATATTCGAGAGTTTCGTTTAATGACACTTCCTTATATTTCCTGCTCAGATGGAATATGACGATATGAAGTGTAAGATGTGCACTTCATGTTCACTTCATATCCCCGTGCATGGCTATTAGCTGTGATTGAGACGGGGAGAATCCCCCTCCCTCTCAAACTTTTGCCCCCACCCGACAAATGAGTCCTTATTTATACAAATGTTAGTATTTACTAAAAGTTATTACCCGAATTACTGTCACAAGACAATAACCTACAGGGTGTCCCAATAAACATGGGAATTTAGTGACGAATTCGATATCGTCTTTTTAGATATTTCTTTGATTTAGTATAGTGATACCTACAAAGAAAGCTGTAATCTGTAAGAGTTTCGTCTGCTATGTTCACATTTTGTTTGTTTATGTTTTGACTGCATACGGTTGTACACTTTTCATAAAATAAACTCTAGAAGACATAATGATATTATGGCTTTAGAAATTAGGCATTACAATGCTAATTACTAACAAAGACGATATCCAATTCGTCACTGAATTCCCATGTTTTTAGAGCCTGTATTTATATACTTTGCTCAGAGTTACAAGAAATTGTCGCCGAAAATCTTAGATTTCGTAAAATTTTGTAAATCAACGAGAAAAATATGTGGAATGGAATAATAAAACGATTGATAGACTCAAATTTTTATTTTGAATATTCTAATGAACATAAAACACAGTGTACACGGTGTGCACATGTTTCACTTAAATAAATCTATTTTCAAGCTGTCAATTTTAAAACTATTTTCTTTAAAACAAAACTCTCAAATACACCTAAATGCTTCAATGTCGTCTTCCTATTCCACCTTTCTGTGTGACCTGGACTTTACATGTTTGATGATAATGACTACTCCAAGAATACATATATATATTTACTGGGACACCCTCTAATATATTTACTGGGACACCCTCTAATTTTAGTTTTTTTTAATTAAAAACGTTTCACAAAGATGTGATTAATTAATTGAATTTACAGAATTGATTCCTCAATTATACATTATGCGATTTTCTTCTCTGATAAAAATGTTAACCAAACTATTTTTCAAATTGATTTTCGAATCGTTTTGTAAAATCGTTTTGTTTAATATGATTGGTTAGCATAATGCTAGAATCTCTGAAAGGGACTGGTCACGTGATTTCCGTCTGAAGTTATTGTGACGTAATACGGACTATACGGACTAAATGTAATAATATTATCAATTATATCTATTAAAAATGCAAAATGCGAAGTAAAAAATTATAATATGAGCAAACCTGAGATTCTCAGGCTCCTGTGGGATATAATCGTTTTCAGATTGGAATATGAATTGGAATTGTTGAATATGATCTATTTAATACTACAACTTTTTATACAAAATCTGGCATATGCCCATTTGGTATAATTTTTGACACAGTTTTATGTCAATTTATGTTCTATAGGTATCGTTCAAAACCTGAGATTCTCAGGCTTCATCCTTTACCCACTTTCATTTTTCCTTTACAGTCCCTTTACGTCTATAAGCATTGAATATTTGAATACTAGTCTCAAAACGATGCCAGCTGAAACTCGTTAATTTTAACGATATGAAGGTAGAATTGGGTCTCATGCTTTCAATAAACATTTTAACTGGTGAAATAAAACCTAAATACTAATTGATTTGGCAGAGAACTGTGAGAGCTATAAGTGCATTTGAAATCTGGGTGGGGGGGGGGGGGGGCACCGTACTCTCCACTGGAAATCTTATTATCCTCCTCTGAAATTTTGAAATAGAAAAACATTACACAAATGTATGTTTTCAAAAAATTGTAATCCTAACTGCTGGGGAACTTTGGTCTATAATTTCGGTTTTTTTTTCTCATAATTCGCATTTGAACATCTTTTAAAGCTCTTAGGTTTTTTATTCATATTTTTTAACCACTATCTAGGACAACACGTTTGTGATGAAACACAATTAGGACGCACATTTAGGACATAAAGTGTTGCTTGAAATATTCACACATGAATGTGATGCAATTTGATACAGTGAGAACCAGAAAACTCTAGAATAGAAACACGGTTTTTCAACTCAAGTTATGACTTTAATTCATCCAATGATCATGAGAAAACAGCAATTTTGCAAACAGACCCATTTCACTTGATAAATGATTTAACAACTTCATCATTTCCAAACTACACTGTAAAATTTGAGATTGTATATTTTATTCAATATTTCGGAATCGCGCGATCACAACAATAATATTGGATAAATTTTACCTAAATTTTGAATAATTTTGTTTACAAATTAGAATCCAATAGGCCAATAATATTCCTATTTATTGAATATTTAATTCAAAACTTTGGAATAAAATACGTAAATAATCACGCGTGGACAATGCGAGTGATTAAAGTCCCCGGTAGTCCATCATATTTTTTCTTCTCCTGGGATATGGGATCTCCAATAAAATCTGAGGGTCTCCAATGAATATGTGGGGGTCTCCAACGAGACGCCCAAAGGGGTCTCCAATGAAAGGGGGTCTCCAATAGTACTCCCAGACTCAAATTGTCAAATAATTGTATGTTTCAAAAACAGATTTTATTTGTCATAGAAAAAAACGTTATTTTGATTTTGGCAAAAGCCCAGAAGTAGTCAAAATGTTAAAAAATAAGATATCTTCTTGAGAATAATTCTTATTATTAATATTACGGTCATATAGTGAAACCCTTAATAACAAATACATCGGAAGAATTTACCAAATGTCGTCTTGACAATTTTTCAATGAGTTTTATGCTATATTACGTAAATTTCAGTATTTGCAAAAATAAATAAATAGCCATGAATATGCGGGAACAGTGTTAAAGAGTTCCATATAATCATTTAATTAAAAAACTAAATATCTGCAACATTCCATTATCAGAAAGTGAAGAATACGACATTTGATGAATTCTTTCGATGTATTCGTTATTAAGGGTAATAAAATTCTCAAACTCTCCTGATGTATGGACAGTGATTTGCATTCCGTCAATTTTTTTTCTCGGTTTTTTTTCTTTTAGGGACAAAATGTGGCAATGTGTTATTAACGCAAATGTGTTATTCTAAACATTTGATGTTCTTAGACTATTTTTCTTACTCATTTTGATCCATAACAGAAAATATATTAAAAACAGAACCAAAATGGATCTAAAACGTAACTTGTTATACAACGATTTTTTTAATCCTAACACGGCTAACAACACGTGTTTGAGTAACCCGTTTGTCCAGAGAAATTAAAACCAAGTTTTAGTCTGAAAGTAGTCTTCATATTCCGAAGGTTTGATACAGGGTTAGGCCCAGGCAGGATGAGACTTCAGAGACGATTTTACGGATTTTCTTAGTCCGTTTTCTCGCATTCAGGGTTTCTTGTAGTAGGCCAAAACGGCATATTTCTGTGCTGGATCATTTAGTAAACATTAAATTACTCGTTTGAATGCAGATACCAAAAATCAAGCTTTTAATCGTCACATTTTTAGAGTTTTGGGTCGTCTTTACAGTCTCATCCTTTTTGCGTTGTTACATATTTTTGAAACAGAAAGCCAGTTATTAATATTTTTATTGTTTGCAAAAAAATAAGTTTTCAGGGTTAAACATTAATTTTTATGTTAAACTTTAGTGTTGAAAGTTTAAATAAAAGGGAAGATAAACTGATGCACGACACCGGGCCGGCGTTACAGTCTCCTATAAAGGTCATTGTGTACACTGAGCGTATACCTGTACTCTCTCAATTAGAATTGAGAACGGTAGTGCCAATTGTCAATACCTGAGCTATCAACGGTTGTTTCTATTGAACGTAAGTATAAAATCTACAATACACTTTACAAGGGGGGAGGATACCTTCGCCCCCCCCCCTGAAATTTTGAGGCAAAAAATGTTCTTAATTTGATTAATCGTATGATACCCCTTTTTCAAGATTTTGAAGGAATTCTAAATTAACAAGAGAATGTGATAAATAAGATTTAGATATTTGTAAGGAATTAGACTTAAATTATAATATTGTTCTTATCAAACTTTCAAATGCATAATAATGTTCTTGCTGATGTTTCTATTTTTGTTCCAAAATCCTTTTAATTAAGATTTTTTTGTTCCAATTTTCAGAATTCTTTGTACCAAAGATATTCGCCCCCCCCCCCCTTCCTGGCTGTTTTCATGTGTCCTTCCCTGATTCTTCATATATCTACATATATATATTTTGCGATAAATACAGGGTGTCCCACGAAAAATGACAATAGCAAGACGATTTTAAAGGTCGTCATAGACCTTTGAAATAGTATGCGACATTTTTTTCAGGTGTAAAATTCTAGAATTAATAATCACAAAATACCCTTTGTCTTGGTATTTCCAAATTGTGGTCTGCCTTTTTTTGAGCTTTCAATGTTTCTGCAGATATGATGAATTTCCTTTCATAATATCTCCGGCAATATTGAATGCACAAAAAAGGCAGACCACATTTTGGAAACGGCAGGACTAGGCGAATTTTGTAGTTATTTTTCAGGAATCATACATGTGAAGGAAGGTTGAAGACTGAATGTCACAAATAACTTGTTGAAAGACGACTTTCAATTCGTTTAGCTAGTGTCATGTTTCGTGGGACACCCTGTGTATCCTTTCTCTTTGTTGGTTGATTTGTGTATGTGATAAACGGCAGAAAACCAACCGGCGGGTCCAAATATTTATAAACTCACCCTTTATGATTTAGTTGGTCTGATTGCTAATTTATTGGATTTAAAAATTCATTAATAAAAGAGAACCCCTCTGAAGTGTTTAGTGAAGGGTCTATAATGTATACTAAACTTTACAGTCTAATAATATCGTAATTCAATATTCTAAAATAATGTTTACTTTCAAACTTTATTCAAGTCCACCGACACATTGTTAGTTTATTGTTTTCTAGTCTCGGGGATTTATTTTGAAAAGCTGAGAAAGCTTTCTCTTGCTTTCTCTTCAGTCTTAAACCAATTGTTGGTTAGTCTGGTTCTAGTTCTGGTTCCAGCTTTGGTTCTAGGTTTGGGTTAAGGTTTGGTTCTAGGTTTGGTTCTAGGTTTGGTTCTAGGTTTTGTTCTTGAGGTTTAGTTCTTGAGGTTTGGTTTTAGGTTTATTTCTTTAGGTTTTGTTCTAGGTTTTGTTCTAGGTTTGGTTCAAGGTTTGGTTCTAAGGTTTGGTTCTAGGTTTGGTTCTAGGTTTTGTTCTTGAGGTTTAGTTCTTGAGGTTTGGTTTTAGGTTTAGTTCTTTATGTTTGGTTCTAGGTTTGGTTTCAGGTTTGTTCCTAGGTTTGGTTTTAGTTTTATGTTTGGTTCTAGGTGTGGTTTGAGGTTTGGTTCTAGATTTGGTTCTAGGTTTGGTTTTAGGTTTGGTCCCAGGTTTGGTTCTTGAGGTTTGGTTTCTGTATTGGTTTAAGGTTTAGTTATATGTTTAGTGCTTGCGGCTTGGTTTTAGGTTTAGTTCTTGATGTTTGGTTTTAGGTTTAGTTCTTTAGGTTTGGTTCTAGGTTTGGTTTTAGGTTTGTTCCGACAGACCGTGGGTTGTTGTCTTAAACATTAATTCACATTTTAAAACTCTTTAAAAGAGTATGTTTGATTATATAACATTTTAACAAGTGTTTTTATTTTTAATTATGCTGAAAGACTAAATGTAAGTAATATTTAGTTTAAATATAGATTTAAAGTGAAACTATTCAAGAAATAAACCTCTTAAAGGGACTGTAAGCGTAATTTCATGTGACTCTCCATACAAATATGGCAATAACCGATTCACAGCGGTACCCTTGAAACCTTGATCTGATCCAAATGTGGAATATGTTCTCGTCTTTCTAGGTTTAAAAGTGTTTTATTCTGATAATTCTTAATTTCTTGCAGTAGAAATGCGCAAGTCACTTTTGTAGAGAAATCAAAAGTTTTAACGTAATTTAATTCATATTTGATCAGATAAAGCTTTTAAAGGTACCCTTGTGAATCAGGCATTGACATCTTTGCATGGAGGGTTACATGAAATTACGCTAATTGTCTCTTCTAAGGGAATGGAGCCATAATTTACATCATTTATATCATAATTTACATCATTATTTAATACTTAGTAAAATAACTTTAAACCAATCTGAGTCCGAATTTAATGAATTTGAGCCGCGTTTCAAATCCGCCAAAACCGGTTTCAATCGAGCTCCGGCTTAAATCTTGAAACATTGAATACAATTTAAAGTGCAACCAACTATGTTTGAGCCGTGTCTCAAATTTAAGCTGCGGCTTAAATTTTTTATAATTCGGCCTCCGAGGAAAAATAAGGTGCACGTAAAGGGGTCGGTTTACATTCTACTGTGACATATTAGGATAGTTATACAACTAGTAAACAATAACAATGATTGCACGTTTTGTTTACTAAATATTGTCTGTTTACCTCTTAAAAGCTGTCTAAATACGTCACAGAATTATATAAAGAAACCAAAGCAAATTCTTATTTTGTTCTTAACATTTTTTTAAAAAATAAATTGAAAAATAGATAAAATGACATTCTGGAATAAAATTCTTGTTCTTCTTCCTGCATTTCTGGACATAAGGTTTTTATATTCTTAATTATTTTTGCTTTTTTGGATTGTTTTAAAATACAGTGGTAGGTGATTCTATTAATACAATGAAGACGACTTTCGATTTCAAATTTTATTTGAGTCAAGCTGTTTAACAGCACTGATACACATAAAATTGGTAGTTAAGAGACGCTGTCAATTAAAAAAAGGATCTTTATGATTACTTGTAAACTTGTAAGTCGAAAAAAGTTTGTTAACAATAAAGACTTGAATTAAAAAGTTGTCTTCATTGTATTAATATAATCGCTTACCACTGTATACAGTTTTTTTAAAACTTTTGAAAAGCTTCACAAAGACTTAAATGTTATCCAATTTTCAAATGTGTGTACCTCACCAAATTTAAAACCTAAAAAATGGAACACTGTTGGTTAAATTGTTTCTGTTATTTTGAGAGTAATATTACTGCAAAACTAAAAACCAAAAAGCTTTTAGCACCTACAATTTTGTATAACATGCAAGTTTATAGATCTAGATGTTTAAAACAAATGAAAAAAACTATTTTGAACAACTCTTTGAACGCGCTTGATTACACTGTATGAAATTTTGCTTACTAAATAAAAATGTTATGCGAAAATTGGGGCCTTCGATAAATAGAAAATGAAGCTGTATATTCCTTTTTACTCCAAAAATTACAATTACAAATATATCTTTAATTGTTATTTAATTTTCTTAAATTACTACTAAAGTATTTTAATTATCATTCATTTATTGTTTTTTGTTTTTAGTGGAGAATATATGAACGGAAATATGAAATCCAAGATAAAGATGGGAGAAGCTCGTCAAGACTGCGATGATGGTAACTGAATATAATTTTCCCAGGGATTTATTTCTAGGGGATTTATTTCAACTGAATGAAAAAAATAATAGCTGAAATCAACTCAATTTTAAATACATAAAAAAATTTAATCTCTGTTTTCGTGAATTTGAAAAATCGACAAAAGAAAAATGGAAAATCTGCAAAATGTCAAATATTGTCAAATATTGTCAAATATTGTCAAATATTGTCAAATATCAGAACGAACAAGTTTTGGAATAGCTATCTATTAAGAAACGCACTTTAAAAGGGGTTTTCAACCAATTTGAAATACACAAAATATCCTAATTATAATATATAATTCCAATTTTTTTATTCTCCCCCCCCTTTCTTATTTTTTTTTTAATTTCCTTCCCCAAATTCGATAACTGAAAAGACATAATTTTTTAATATTAATATTGTAATGCATAATATTCCCCAAAAGGATGCATACAGAAAAGCATAATTGGCGGCGCAGGCAAGTTTTTTTTCTTCAACTTTGGGTAATGGTTTGGTGGCAATGGCAAACATGTTGGAATTGATTATTAGTCAGTCCAGGATTATATTGTTTTTTTTTTTTAAATTAATTTCCCATCATTTTACTTGGTTTTCTACTTTTACTTCTCAAGTTCTCAAAAAAATATTTTGCTATATTTATGAATTTGTGCCTTAGCACCAACAAATGTGAATAGGTTTAACTATTTGGAAAAATTATTGAGTAATGAGTATTCTTTTATCATACTTGTTATTATAAATTTTTAAGTTTTTTTATCCTGCATTATAACTATTGGGGAAAATTTTGTTGTGAAAAACTCTCTGATTTTAGATTAAGTTATGTGGATATGTAAAGAGCTCCAGCCCTTCCCTTGCCTATATTCCCCTTTCCTTCACTTCCTTATCTGCCAACCTTCCATCTATTCTCTACCTTCCCCTTCCCTTCGTTTCCCTTCCCTAACTACCCTACCTTCCCCATACCGTCCCCTTCTACTTCCCTTCCCTACCTTTCTTTTCCCTTATCAACCTTCCTTCTTCTTTCCCTACCTAGTACCTACCCTGCCCCTTTCGAAGTTGCCTAATCCCTATACTCTTTCCTTCCCTTCCCTTTCCTTCCCTTTCCTTCCCTATCCATCCCTTTTTTCTTCCATTTCCTTCTCTTTCCTTCCCTTTCCTTCCCTTTCCTTCCCTATCCTTCCCTTTTTTCTTCCCTTTTTTTCTTCCCTTTTTTCTTCCCTTTTTTCTTACCCTTCTCTCCCGTCCTCTTGAGTCTTTGATTTCTATCCCCCCCAAGGGGGGGGGAGCGAATTTTATGCCCCCCTGTCCTTTAAATAACGAACTTTACCCTAGGTGTTAATGGGAATGATATTGACTGGGATGGAAATCCTAGAAATTATACTTGTTATCATCCAGATACCTTACTTCTTGGTAGCTCAACCAGGTACATTCTTTTACAATCTATGGATAAATCAGTATTCTCCTTTTTGTCCAATCTGTACAATCTGTGAATAAACCAATTTACTCTCTCTTGTCCAATCTGTGGAATCTGTGGATAAATCAGTATGCTTTTTTTGTTCAATCTGTGTAATCTGTGGATAAATCAGTATTTTTTCTTTATTCAATCTGTGTAAACTGTGGATAAACCAGGCTTCTCTCTCGATGTACAATCTGTGTAATTTGTGGATAAATACGTATTCTTTCTTTTGTTCAATATGTGGAATCTGTGGATAAATCAGTATTCTCCTTTTTGTCCAATCTGTGGAATCTGTGAATAAACCAGGATTCTTTCTTTTGTTCAATCCGTGGAATCTTTTTTGTTCAGTCTGTATATTCTGTCACTAAACAACTTTTCTCTCTTTATTTTAATCTGTGGAATCTGTGAATAAACCTTTATTCTCTCTTTTGTCCTATCTGTGTAATCCGTGGATAAATCCATTTTCTATAATTTGTTCTAACTCTGTATTTTGTGGTTAAAACTGTATTCTTTCTTATGTCCTGGTTTTTTTATGTGGATAAAACAAAATTCTCTTTTTTTCATTTAAATTTTTTTTCTTCAAAAATCCAAAAAATCTTACATTAAAAATTTAATTACTTTTTAAGATAAAGGAGGGAAAGGAGAGGATGGAATGTTTTTTTTAACAAAATGAAATTTATTTTCTAGATCTGTTGTTGAATGTAAAGATCTCCCATCAGATTACTCACCCCAGCATTTTTGCCTCGGAACACCTATAAAGGTATTTACATTGATTTTCAAAACTTTAAAGAGACTGTAAAGTGTAAATTGAGGTGGGACATCACAACGGTACCCTTTAAACCTTTGGTTGATCATCAAGGACAGAGAACTCAGTGTATATTTCTTTTAAATTCTGTGTAAAAAGCCGTTAAATTGGAATGTACGTAAGTGTACTGTGTGAACTCAACGCGAATGACGTCAGATTTTTTTCCGGAAAATCTAGAATATTTTATTTTCAACGCGTTCTTAAAATTTCAAATGAAAATATTTATACTCTGCCAATTCCCCCTGATTATCCTTGATCAGGTAACGGTTGAAAGGAAACAGTTTTGAATCTTTAAATGAAAGGTCACCGGGAATAACGCAAACTGTCCCTTTAGGTTCAAACATTCAAATTTTAAAATGGTATATTATATTCCACAAAATATTAGATATTTGGTATGGCCAAGTTTTTATTTTCTAAGTTAATGCTTTGCTGTTTGGGTTCTGTATTTACTGATTTCATATTATATCACCAATTTTATTTAGTATCCACATCCAGTTCCCCATCATGGAAATCATCGACCAATCTGGCCGAAATTTGGAGAATACAGGGTGATTTTTTTATTAATTTTAAACCAAATAACATATTTTTATATTTGCTTTAATTTAATTTGTTTAAAGTTTGTCCCGGCACAGCGTTGGTTGCATAATATAGAACACGGAGCTGTTGTAATGTTGTACCATCCTTGTACACATCCAATCCTTGTACAACAACTCAGGTATAGATATATACACATCCAACCCTTGTACAACAACTTAGGTACAGATATGTAAACATTAAATCCTTGTACAACAAATCAGGTACAGATATGTATACATTCGACCCTTGTACAACAACTCAGGTACAGATATGTACACATCCAACCCTTGTACAACAACTCAGGTACAGATATGTACACATCCAACCCTTGTACAACAACTCAGGTACAGATATGTACACACCCAACCATTGTACAACAACTTAGGTACAGATATGTACACATTCAACCCTTGTACAACAACTCAGGTACAGATATGTACACATCCAACCCTTGTACAACAACTGAGGTACAGATATGTAAACATCCAATCCTCGTACAACAACTTAGGTACAGATATGTACACATTTAACCCTTGTACAACAACTCAGGTACAGATATGTACACACCCAACCCTTGTACAACAACTCAGGTACAGATATGCACACACCCAACCCTTGTACAACAACTCAGGTACAGATATGTACACACCCAACCCTTGTACAACAACTCAGGTACAGATATGTACACATACAACCCTTGCACAACAACTCAGGTACAGATATGTACACATCCAACCCTTGTACAACAACTCAGGTACAGATATGTACACATCCAACCCTTGTACAACAACTTAGGTGCAGATATGTAAACATCCAATACTTGTACAAGAACTCAGGTACAGATATGTAAACATCCTGTTTAATTTACATCCTGTTGGTCCAAAAAGGCTCGATTTTAAAAAAGCTGTTTTTAGTTGCATAATGTAGTGGCTTGTTATTAAACGTTATGTTTTCTTCATATTTCTTATTTTTAGAGATTTGTTGACAGGGTGCATAAGGAAACATATTATTACTCCGCATAATGATCTTCCAGAAGACAAGGTGGGGGCACATTGCACAAATATGAAAATATTTTTTTACACATTTTTTATATCCGTGATTTATTGTGTTCTAGCCGCTTTACTATTAAAGCCCATTGAGGTCTGGGGGTGCAGGCTACTAATATCTAGTAACATATTGTATTCTAGCCGCTATACTAGCCCTAGTAGCCTGGGGGTGCAGACTACTAATATCTAGTAATATATTGTATTCTAGCCGCTAGCCCTAGTAGTCTGGGAGTGCAGACTACTAATGTCTAGTAATATATTGTATTCTAGCCGCTATACTAGCCCTAGGAGCCTAGGGGTGCAGGCTACTAATATCTAGTAATATATTGTATTCTAGCCGCTAGGCCTAGTAGTCTGGGGGTGCAGGCTACTAATATCTAGTAATATATTGTATTCTAGCCTCTATACTAGCCCTAGTAGCCTGGGGGTGCAGACTACTAATGTCTAGTAATATTGTATTCTAGCCGCTATACTAGCCCTAGGAGCCTAGGGGTGCAGGCTACTAATATCTAGTAATATATTGTATTCTAGCCGCTAGCCCTAGTCTGGGGGTGCAGGCTACTAATATCTATTAATATATTGTATTCTAGCCGCTATACTAGCCCTAGGAGCCTAGGGGTGCAGGCTACTAATATCTAGTAATATATTGTATTCTAGCCGTTAGCCCTAGTAGCCTGGGGTGCAGGTTACTAATATCTAGTAATATATTGTATTCTAGCCGCTAGCCCTAGTAGCCTGGGGGTGCAGGTTACTAATATCAAGTAGTATATTGTATTCTAGCCGATAGCACTAGTAGCCTGGGGGTGCAGACTACTAATGTCTAGTAATATATTGTATTCTAGCCGCTATACTAGCCCTAGGAGCCTAGGGGTGCAGGCTACTAATATCTAGTAATATATTGTATTCTAGCCGCTAGCNGAATTATCTAGTAAAGGACTTCACGGACCTGAGGTGAATTATCTAGTAAAGGACTTCACGGACCTGAGGTGAATTATCTAGTAAAGGACTTCACGGACCTGAGGTGAATTATCTAGAAAAGGACTTCACGGACCTGAGGTGAATTATATAGTAAAGGACTTCACGGACCTGAGGTAAATTATCTTACTCTTTACAGAGGCGAATTTTCGGGGATACCTACTCTTCTTTATTTTCCCCAAAAACCACTTAGAGATTAAAAAAGAAAACCTTATTAGGTCTTACAAAAGCAAATGTTGAAAATTATATGAGTTTGTTTTGAAACAAACTGTACTAAACTACACCGTATTGTATGATTTTTAACCTGGTCGTTCTGTCATGATAGTTATAAAAGTTAAAATGGCCGTCGAAAATTGATTTAAATAGCAAAAGTATGAAGAAAAACTCGTATATGTGAAAAGATTTAAAATTTAGTCATTTTGTTCTACCAACAATATAATATTATATATTTTTATGAAATTTTATATTTTTTTTTATAAAATATTCTTCTTTCGAAATAAAATGAATTGAACTTAACTTTCTTCAGGGAAAATACAGTAAAGAAGGACAGTATACACGAGATTTGATCAAACTTGCTGAACCCCCTGCAGGTTGTAATCTATATAAATAAAGTAGTTATCTGTCTTCCTTTGTCTATATGTCCGATCATACCTCATGAACCCTTAGACTGATTCATCTCAAATTTTGATTGAGGAAGTCTGTAAAACCTCGGACAACGCCAGGTTTCCAAACTAGTACACAAATAAAACCGATAAAAATTAAAACTCTTTTCTTTCTAAAATCTTGTGGTTCATAAGATTATGACCTATTTACAGGTTTCAGAAACTAATCTTTAAGATCGCTAAAAACATTTTATCAATGATGTTCTTATGGTGAAGTTTGATCATCTAAACTTTTAAGCAGTATATAATATATATAGTGATATACTTGAAGCAGTATATAATATATATAGTAATATACTTTTAAGCAGTATATAATATATATAGTAATATATTTTTAAGTACAGTGAAACTTTTAAAAACGAATACATCGAAAGAATTCATCAAATGTCGTATTCTTCACTTTCTGATAAGTAATATACTTTTAAGCATTATATAATATATGTAGTAATATACTTTTAAGCAGTATATAGTAATATACTTTAAAGCAGTATATAATATATATATAGTAATATACTTTTAAGCAGTATATAATAATATAAAACTCCTCACACTTGTTTTATATTTTGTTCATAATGTCAAGCTTAATGTTCGTTATTTATAAACGTTTTGTACAATATAGTAACAGTTTTCTTGGGGGATTTTTACTAACAGTGTGATGTTGAACAGCAGGAAGACGACATTTAATTCTCTTCTCATAGATATTTTTAATTTCAGGTTCGGATATGGACGACTCCATTTTGTGTCCAAATATGTGAGAACGATGATAAGATGTTTAAATAAGAAAAATAAATCAATTTATTGTTTTTTCTTTGTATTTTTGTCAACTTAAAGAGGCGCATAACGTTGTTTAAAGTATCCCTTTAATTAAAGAAGATGATTCTCCTAGTTTACAAATCATGATTAATTTTAAACGTAAACGTTGTATTAAGTTCTCCAAAAAGGAGGCACGTCAGAATAACGGTACCCCTACAAGCTTTGTTCAATCAAAAGATCGAATAAATAGGCAATCCATCCATGGTTCCTTTTTTGAAATCTAATTATTTTCATTTGGTGTTCTCTACGACTGTGTCTTCAAGCGCATTTCTGCTTACAGGTCAAGGTTCAAAGGGTACCATATGAATCCGGCTAGCCCCTTTTTATACGAAGGTTATAAGTTATAAAGGCAGTCATATCTTAGAGCTTTAACGGAGCTTTTGAAACACTAATTGTCTATGCACTATATCTTCACAACTCATTGTGAAAGACCTTTTTTATCTCAAACTGAATTCTGTTAGATCATAAATGATCTAAGTTTGAAAAATCTAGGTTACCCCATCAGATTTGAAAGATATTGGAATTTAAGAAACATTTAGTTTGTGCTAAGACTAAAAATATAAACTTCCCGATCAGCGATCTCTCATTGGTCGACTGGGTAAAATTTCAGGATCTCTCATTGGTCCAATCCTTGAATGTGGCCAATCAGAGTTAAGGAGAAAAGTCACCTCACCGAAGTATTTGCTGTAGAATTCCTGTAGAATTATTTTTAGAAGAAAATCTATAATATCTTTTTTACATTTTGTCAGTCGCAAATAGACAGTTAAAAAGAGTTATTTCTAATGACCTTTTCATGCAGGGATGGCGATGCCTGATTCATAATTCAGTGCCCTTGAAACCCTTCTATAATCAATAATGCGGAAGGTAATGTTGTGTTTCTGGTTTAAAGTGATCATTTCTTTTTGTCACCGATAGTAGAAATGCACAAGTCACTTTTAAAGAGGAACCACAATTCAAATTTGCATGGAGGGTCACTTGAAATTATGCTTACAGTCCCTTTAAACTAAACTGCATGTGTTTTATAAAGAGAAAACATTTAAAAACAATTCTGAGAATGTTTTGAATCTTATTTTAAGATGTAAAACAGTAAAAATGTATGCATTTGAAGAATATTTATGAAATTATATTAGCTTTAATAAACAAACGTTCTTTGTTCATTGTAACAAATTCTGTTAATTATATATTTGTTTATGCTTTCCATATCTTTTATGTTTTAACCTTAAGAAGGCGGTGTTTCAAAAGAGCCGTCTATTAACCGGGGGAGGGGGGGTCTCCGTCTCCCACCATCCCGCCATTTTCAACCATAATTACCTTTTATTAAGAGCTATTTAGAAGGAAAAGAAAGTTATGAATTTTTTATATGAAAAATCTGAAAAAATTAGCTTCAAGGACACAAAGTCATACCAGTAATGTCACATAAATCTAACCTCCTGTACATAACATGTACATAACCTGTACATAAAACTTTTTGATTTCTGCACTTATAACAACTTTATTAACTGTAATCAATAATATATATTCTTGGGTTATATATAATCATATTATTTATTCAAACTTTAATACGTGAATATAAATATAAATATAACAGTTTATACAAAATATTAATAATAAAAAAACAAACAAATTTCAACGATTTCAGAATTCTCAATGTGTGTATTATTAAAATACAATTGATTTAACCAAAATGTCAAATGTTGGAGTAAAGAATTTGAAATAAAAACATGAAATTCAATCTGTTTAGACAAACAAAGCAAGTTAAAGCTTGTTACTGAAAAATTATTTTGTTTACTCAAAAATACATTTTTTATTGCTGAACAGACCAAAGGTTTCAAGGGGTACCGTTGTAAATCGGACACTGCAATCATTGCATAGAGGGTCACTTAAAATTACGCATACATGTCCCTTTGAATATAAAAGTTTTATCCTCGAATTGAATTTATATTTGGTGAATATTTTCTTTCTCAAAATCTGTTTAATGTTTAAATCTGAGAGATCGTCTTCTCTCACTATTGAACAAGTTTCTGCGGGCTGCAGATATTCTGGCTGATTTACTCGTTGTCGCAGGAATACTCGGGGTAGAGCTTTCATCTCCATTTCTGTTCGACTTCCTACGAGAATATTATTACTTCAGAGGGGTTGCAAAAAATTATCACTTTTATCAATTTTGCTACCCTCCGAAAATTTAGCAAATTATGTTTAAAAACTATAAGGCCTTTTCAGAAATACACAATAACCTTTTCTGAACTTTGAAATTTTTGAGAAACAGTCTTTGGAATTTAAAAATTAAATATGTATTAGTTCAGTATTAGTCACGAAAACGAAATATATGGTGGGGGGGGGGGGGTTCTTCTAGAGAACAATATCATACGTAATCCATAATTGGCCAATAGAAATTAATTGCATGTGCATTGTGCATTCAGTTCATTCATTTTTTTAAAATATATTTTCTTTCATGGATGAAATTAGACAAAGTGTAAGAAAATGTTTTCAACTTTGTTTATTCTAAACATTTACATTTTTTACATTATTTCGAATTTTGTCTATTAAAGAAGACCCAAACGACCCAAAAGCCATCAAACAACAAAAAACGATGCAGAAACGAACGCGTTTAAACATTTTTTGTATCGTTTTTTCAATCTTTTCAGGGAGAAATATATTGCCAAATTTAATAAAATATATTGCCAAGTTTAATAAAATATATTGCCAAGTTTAATAAAATATATTGCCAAGTTTAATGAAATATATTGCCAAGTTTAATGAAATATATTGCCAAGTTTAATGAAATATATTGCCAAGTTTAATGAAATATATTGCCAAGTTTAATTAAAGATATTGCCAAGTTTAATAAAAGCAAAGTTTAGCAGAATACAGTTTTCAAATCTTGGAAATTTTACTAAATTAAAAAACTGAATAACAACACTACCTGCTAGTAGAGTAGGATGAACTATTACTTGAAGAGCTAGACGTACTATAGCTCACTGAGCTAACAGGGCTGCTCTCAGAGCTGGTGGAGCTGCTTGCAGAGCTGGTGTAGCTGTTTCCAGAACTGGAAGAGCGTCCAAAGCTGCTTCTAATTCCAGTTCTCTGTCTATAGGTTTGACGGGTTGGTTTCAAAGAACTCACTTCTCTAGTTTGAACAATAGATGCCTTCTCTTCAATTTCCTGAAATTTAAAAATTAATATAAAACCTTTAGAGTCATAATCAGTAAACTGTAGAATAGGAAGACGACATTAAAACAATACGGAAGTGCACATGGTGTTGGTACAATACAAGCAGTATTACTAGTAAATTATTAAATCACTTATTAAGTGAATTGGGTCTGTGTTTGGACAGATCGTAGGCTTGCTTCTTTCTTTATTTTCAGAATTGTCACTTTGGATTTTTCAAGTTTTCTAATTAATTTTATTTCTAGACGGTTTAGAGGTCAAAACTTTTTTGTGATTAATAATGTTAATCTTAATACATTGGTAGTTTTGGAAATAAAGGTCAAAGTTCTTTATTTCCTTAATTTTTGGCACATTTATAGAAATAAATTAGTCAAAAAATATTCCGTGCATTTAATTGAAAAATGAGAAAAAGAAGACGACTTCCTGGTTTCTGGTTTCTACTCAATGAGTCTAAAATTAACCTTGTAAAGATCTTGATCCAGTTTTCTTGGCACCCTAAGATGGTTTCGAACTCGGGAAAGTCCACTCCTAAAAAAGTTAAAATTTTTCCAAATAATCCATTCCTGGTTTTCCTAGTTTTTAAACATATTTTTTATTTTCACAAAGGATTTAACCGTAAAGACGATTTGAATGGCTTATTTCATGATTTTTTTTAAAGGAATTGACAAGGTCGTCTCTGAAGCCTCATCCTATGTTGTTAATCCTGCATTGTATGTCAGAAATCCTACAGTGAAACCCTTAATAACGAATACATCGAAAGAATTCATCAAATGTCGTATTCTTCACTTTCTGATAATGGAATGTTGCAGATATTTAGATTTTTAATTAAATGATTATATGGAACTCTTTAAAACTGTTCCCGCATTTTCATGGCTATTTATTTATTTTCGCAAATACTGAAATTTACGTAATATAGTATAAAACTCATTGAAAAATTGCCAAGACGACATTTGATAAATTCTTCCGATGTATTCGTTATTAAGGGTTTCACTGTAGTATACCTTTCAGATTCTAATTCTATGCATTGTCCTTAAACTTAATTTGTGGGAAACCCAGGGTAGTTGATTTCTGAGCGATCAATAATAAATTTGAATTTTGGCCAAACCAGTGCATGAAAATGGACGAAAAAAGTTGAAATTAAATTTTTGTTGTTGTTGTTGAGTTTGTTGCTGTTGTTGTTAGCTGCTAACCTAGAGGATCCATAAGCTGAAGCAGGGGCAGCTGTTGTTGTTGTTGTTGTTGTTGTTGTTGTTGTCTTTTCAGCTTCGAGGAAGGTTAAACAGTCACAGCTGCAATAAATCATTTATTTCTTAAAGGGATTGCTGACAAACTATACCGACTCTTTGTTGAAAATTTTACAATAAATTTCAATTTTTATCCTTAAATCAATCAAATCACTCAACAGCATCTTGACTTAAAAGACGAGCAATATTTGGCCAAAATTTATCCAAATTCAATGAACACAAAATCGAATTATTCGCGTTACATCAATTTAAACAATGAGGAACATTGTAAGAGAAATCGTCACCACCAAGTGCAGTGAGTACCATACAAAGATAATATATATACTAGAGCATATATATTATCATTCGTATCAGAAAACTCTGGTATGGAAGACGACTTTTAAATTCAAGTTATGAATTTACATAGTCATGAGATACAGCAAATGTGTAGTATAAACATGGGCCCATTGCACTTAATAAGTGAATTCATAAGTTACAAGTAGAACTATTTGTTTTATAGGAACATCAAATACACTTAAGCATTGATTTAATGTCGTCTTCCTTTTCCAGAGTTTTTGGTTCTCACCGTATGCAAGAAATAAAAAATTATTAGAGATTACCCTTTCTCGATTGGTGAGCATGTATTGAGTACGATAATACCAGTATCTCCTAGTAAACATTATTGTACAGAAGGTTATAATGCAAGGAAAGTTATTTCAGAGGCGTACGCATCTTTTGTACTGCAGTGTACTGTCTCTGGGCGGTAATGTAAACACAAGACGGATGTCGAAGCCTGACATGGTATCCATCTTTCACATAAAAAATCAATAAATATTCTGGTCATAGGAAACTATTATGTGAATTATTAAAATTATCAAAATTTAATGCTTTTAACCTCCTCGAATACTAAACGAAAACTGATGCATCTATTCTTGTTTACTACAAAACAAATTCCGCCCAGAGAGAACTGGTTTCAATATGTACGCCGAGTATACGCAACTGCAATTAACTTTCCTTGAATTACAACCTTGATTGTACATATATGTATATATAGTGTCCTAAAGAATACCTAGCATGAAACATAATGTTGATACAATAAAACTTCAAATCATGTTTTGAATACTTATTTTCTTAAACATATATATATGGGTGTTCAAAGAATTGTAACTACTGAGGATCGTCATGATAGACGTGAAACATTATGTTTAGTATAATTCTTTTTTTTAATAAAAATGTGAAGTTAAAAACTGAAATATATATATATAATAAAAATAGATATAAATTAAAGACAAAAGTATTGATAAATAACATTTGCTGTTTTACGCCAGAGATTAGGTGTCTTCAGTTAAGATAATTTGTTTTTCAATATTTTGACATATGTGAGGAGGCTTTTTTAAGGCACAACGCAAAACAAATTCTTATCCTGAACAAATTCTTATCCTTTATCAATTTGAAAAGTATCTATTATTTTGATAAACATAAAGAAACAAATTTTTCAAAGTGAGAAGTTCACCTAGACAAAAAAGACCTGTTACGATGAATGCACAGTGAATTCTATAAAACTGTGAAACTGTGACTGTTTAGTCAAGTTATGATTATGAATGAATGCACAGTGAATACTATAAAACTGTGAAACTGTGACTGTTTAGTCAAGTTATGATTATGAATGAATGAACATGAAACACAGCAAATGAGCAGTGTATTACAGACCCATTTCAATATCATTTAATAAGTTGGCCATTATTTCCACACAACTTACCCAGCTGTCCAGGTCTGTTTGTTCCATCGAGCTGACCCATGCATTTACCCCATCTGATGGAAATATCCACAATTAAATAAAACATTTTTTAAATTATATCTTCGACAATATATCTTTATGAAACAGCAAAAGGGTCTCAAAAGAAATCTAAGTTTTTTCAATATTAGTAAATCTTCTTTTATTCAATCTGCACATTTTTTAGAAAATATGAACCGGTCATTTTCGTTGTTGTTTTGAAAATGCTTTTTTCCTAGAGTAAAGATTTTGTTAAAAGCAAAAAACAGTTACCTTTTTGGGGTTATATTTATTACGATCTAGAGACTAATCGTATGGCAAATATACAGGGTTACCCACTAAGAATGAGACTTCAGAGAAGATTTTACAGAATTTATACTTTCTGCAGTTTCCTTATATTTATTATTTTCTGCAACCGTAAATCTTATTTCTTTCTTTTTCTAATCATTGAATACGCCATTATCAGATTGTCTTCAAGGTAGAAGACTTAATTTAACCTTGGAATAGTCAGATTTAAAGAGTTGCAGGTCGTCTTTAAAGAGTTGCAGGTCGTCTTTAAAGTCGCATCCTTTGTGGGTAACCCTGTATCAAACACTGTATTAAACTTGCGGAATGAAATGGGTTTAGGCTTAATCCGAATTAAATTGGGATTCGATTGCTACTATAGTTAACTTGAAACTATATAGCGTCTATAAGTAGGATAGATAGATAGATAGATAGATAGATAAATAGAGGTAAAATGAGTAGCAATTGAATCCAAAGTAAATGCATACTAAAGTGGAACAACCAGAATAAAGACGACTAGTCGGGCCAAACGCTATTATTTGGTTTGGTAAACTTTTTCCAAATTATTGTTGCGGGACCCTTTTATTCACTTTGAATCGATCAGCCTAGAACCCCTTTCATTTTTCGCAAACACTCCCTTTAAAGTCACACATTTTATCAAAGAGTACCATGGATGCATTTTACAAAAACGCCAGGGGTCATACACGTCGTGGTTCAACCCCCCTTATTAACCTGCGGATGTATTAGATTTGTACAGTATAGTAAACACTCTTTGGTTTGACCTTTGCTTGCCTATACACTTCATATATGGGGGTTTATACCCAACAAAACTGTAAATATTTACGCAAAAGGTCAGAAGGGTTTCAACGTTGAAAATCAACATTAAATATTGAAAATGAAGGATATAGAACTAACTGTATAACTGTATATTAGATCTATGTAGATCAATGTTATCTATAAAAGAGAGTCAAAATAGTTATTATGTATGTTACGTAAAACTGTATAATTATATATTAGATCTATGTAGATCAATGTTATCATAAAAGAGAGTCAAAATAGTTATTATGTATGTTACCTAAAACTGGGCAAATCGTAACTAAGAGTATAACTATTAAGGAAACGTTCATAATAATAAAAAGATTCTTTGTTTGCTATAATGTGTACTAGACCAGAAACTATGCAGAACATAGACAATGAAAATGTGTACATTAACCAGGAAAATGTGTACATAAACCTGGAAAATGTGTACATAAACCAGGAAAATGTGTACACAAACCTGGAAAATGTGTACATAAACCACGAAAATGTGTACGTAAATCATGAAGTGGTGCAGATAAAACAAGAAAATGTGTACATAAACCATGAAAATGTGTACATAAACCATGAAAATGTGTACATAACCCATGAAAATATGTACACAAACCATGAAAATGTGTACATAAACCATAAAAATGTGTACATAAATCATGAATAGGTGCAGATAAACCAAGAAAATGTGTACATAAACCATGAAAATGTGTACATAAACCATGAAAATGTTCATACATAAACCATGAAAATATGGACAGAAACAAAGAAAATGTGTACATAAACCTGGAAAATGTGTACATAAACCAGGAAAATGTGTACATAAACCAGGAAAATTTGTACATTAACCAGAAAAAGTTAAACAAAATCAAGAAAATGTGTAAACAAACCAGGAAAATTTGTACATAAGCCATGAAAATATGTACATAAACCATGAAAATGTGTAAATTAGCCATGAAAATATGTACATAAGCCATGAAAATGTGTACATAAACCTGTAAAATGTGTACATAAATCATGAAAAGGTGCAGATAAACCAGGAAAATGTGTACATAAGACATGAAAATGTGTACATAAACCATGAAAATGTGTACATAAGCCATGAAAATGTCTAAATAAGCCATGAAAATGTTTACATAAATCATGAAAATGTGTACATAGGCCATGAAAATGTGTACAGAAACCTGGAAAATGTGTACATAAATCATGAAAAGGTGCAGATAAACCAGGAAAATGTGTACATAAACCGGGAAAATTTGTACATAAGCCATGAAAATGTGTACATAAACCATGAAAATGTGTACATAAGCCACGAAAATTTGTACATAAACCTGGAAAATGTGCACATAAACCTGGAAAATGTGTACATAAGCCATTAAAATGTGTACATAAACCAGGAAAATGTGTACATAAGCCATGAAAATGTGTACATAAGCCATGAAAATTTGTACATAAACCGGGAAAATGTGTACACAAACCTGGAAAATGTGTGCATAAACCCACCTGTAGCAAGTTAACCCACAATTCTTCTCTCTTCTAGCTTGTGTACAAGTACAAGCCAACATTGATATAAACAACAGAATTAATTTCATCTTCATCCTTATCTGAAATCATTTAGTATAATGTCATGTAACAAACTTCTCTGGCATGTCCGATTCACCATTGTGTTCTTTGAAGCTTCAAGAATTCTTCTCTTTGAATGATATTGATATTCTTCTTTTAACCTCCTATGTCTCTGCTTCGGAAACAATTGTGGAAATCGTCAGAAATAAACACTTTACACAAGCAAGAAAAACGACAATATCTCATGCATAATTAATCGGTTAAAGGTTGTAACTTGGTACCGTTGTTACACTTGAAATAACGACACAGCAGTCCTGTGATAGTAAGTATAGAACTTAACAAAAAGATTTTGATACATACCTTTTTGATACCTTTTTTAGAAAAATTAAAAGCGTATAATTTTTTCTTGTGACTTCACGATACCGGCCTTTCTGCCATTCCAGGAAAATCTTGACTTTTCATTGTTATTTTGATAAACTTAGTTCCCAGCTGTCCTAATATAAGTAATAATAGGCTTTTAAAGCGCTTCGCGCCCATCTTCTATTTCAATTGTGAACCTTGTCTCGTTGTATACATTGTAAATCAAAACCAAAAAAAAGCTTGACCGATTCTATAAAAGAAATTTCGTGGACTTTCAAATTTAATGAAAATTGAAATTTGTTTGAGGCAAATTTTTGAAATTTTCATCATTGATAAACCTTACCTGAAGTTATGGTCCCACAAAAAATTTGGGCCAAATAGATGTTTCTGTAAAATATGTACACAATACCTATCCCTCTAACCTACACTATTCTCACATTGTTCCAAAATTGAATATTGAATTTATTCTGAAAGTTTACTAGAGCATTTTCAAAATAATTTTATTCTCAAGTTTGATATTTTTCAAGTAATTCTTATTTGTATGATTTATCATTCACACCGGCTCCCTTTAAAGCTTTGTATGATGAAGAACGATGAAGAATGATGAAGAATGATGAAGAATGATGAAGAATGATGAAGAATGATGAAGAATGATGAAGAATGATGAAGAATGATGAAGAATGATGAGAATGATGAAGAATGATGAAGAATGATGAAGAATGATGAAGAATGATGAAGAATGATGAAGAATGATGAAGAATGATGAAGAATGATGAAGAATGCATGATATTTCTTTTTCCAATTGAGGTGCCTCTGTAAAATGTCTTACGGATTTCTGCTTCACAAAAAATGGAGGAAATTATCAAATCAAACACTTTTCAAGATAAATATAATAAACTTTTGCTTTTTTCTTATTAATCAAAAAAAAATGTAACTAAAGAGAGAAAAAAGAATTAGTTCAAATAATTTGACCCGATTGAAAAATTAAGTCTGTCCATTCAAAGCTCTCAGCTTAAAGGAATTGTGAATGTTTTTCAAGAGGTCACTGTCTGATTTACAACGGGACCCTTAAAACTTGTACCTGATCAAGACTGTATGAGATATCCTTGTTTTACTGGCTTAAGTTAAAGTGACTTGCGGAATTATGCCGCAGAGAAACGGAGGAAATGGTCAGATTTCAATACATTTTTAGGATAGGGGACGATAGCATGTCAAATCAGACATTGTACTTAATAAATGAAGGGTTACATTAGATTACGCATGTCGCATACAGTCTCTTTAAACACTGATTCTGAATGAGAATTGAATCGAGATAAACTTTTAGCCTCAAGGTGCTACAGAGATACTTCCTAGTTGCACCCTGTACTCAGGGGGTACACGGAGCTCAGGCTTACACATCCGTCCAACTCAACCTTCCAGCTTCAACTACGATGGATTCATACGCGGGGATATTTGCAGAATGAGGCAAAGAATAAGACTTAAATATAATGTACTACGGACTGGATCAAATCAAATCAAATCAAAGTAAGACATAAATATAATGTACTACTGACTGGATCAAATCAAATCAAATCAAATCAAAGTAAGACACAAATAAAATGTACTACAGACTGGATCAAATCAAATCAAATCAAAGTTTTCTAAATGTATACTCTGGTTGTTTGTCTGTCTGTCTGCCTGTCCGTTTTTATCCAATAAACGTCAAAACGGCTGAACCGATCGGGCCCAAATTTTGTGTGGGACTTCACATGACCCCAGGGAAGGTTTTTATTAATTAGTTATGTTAAAAAGATTTTGAATCCACGAAAAGATATTATTAAATCAGCGAACTTTTTTGTTTTTGTTTTATATTGTACAAAGAGAAGATGCTCCAAGGTAGAGCCACAATTAAAAGTTGCAATAGCGCGAAGGGAAGAGCCCTATAAATGCAGAGTGATACAGCTGTTTAGAGAGAGAGGGTAGGTTGTTTTATTTTTAGATAATAACATCAACACGTTGATTCTTAACAGAAAATGTTTACAAAGTTGGTAAGATTTATTACAAAATATGATATAATATATAAAATATAATATCTGATTTATTACAAAATATGACATAAGATGCTTCTTAATATCTATTCAAAAAATGAGCTCAGCAGTACTACTTTGTTTGTATCAAGGAATATACCTGGAACTACAGTATATTTGTTTACAAATTCAATGTATTGCAGTTTTTGGGAGAAATGTAAAAACAGCAAAGCCAAGGTTATAATGCAAGGAAAGTTATTTCATAGGTGTACGCATCTTTTGTACCGCTGTGTACTGTCTCTGGGCGGTAATGCAAACACAAGACGGATGTTGAAGCCTGACATGGGATCCATCTTTCACATAACAAATCAATGAAATATTCTGGTATAGGAAATTATTTTGTGAATTATCAAAATTTAATGCTTTTAACCTCCTAGAATACTAAACGAACACTGATGCATCTATTCATGTTTACAAATTCTGCCCTGTATACACTGATGCATCTATTCTAGTTTACAAATTTCGCCCAGTATGTACGCAGAGTATATGCAACTGCAATTAAATTTCCTTGCAAAACAACCTTGGGCAAAGCTTTGTTTACATTCTTCCCAGAAAATGAAGTACACAGTACACAGTACACAGTACACAGTACACAGTACACAGTACACAGTACACACCATTTTAAGTTCTTTTTTAATAAACTTCCTCGTTTATTTTTTTATCCAGAAAACTTTTTATAAAACAAATATATTGTGAAATCTTTTTGATATTTTTTGAACAAATGTACTAAAAAGATTAGGATAGTATTCAAATTGTATTTTATTCTTTCAATAGTTGTTCTTTAATAATCAATTTATTCATTTATAAATAAGATGAGCTGTTAGAAATAATCCTATCAGTTCGATATTAAAATCGAACAAAAAGTTAGAAATATCTCACTTGCAGTTAGAAATATCTCACTTGCAGTTAGAAATATCTCACTTGCAGTTAGAAATATCTCACTTGCAGTTAGAAATATCTCACTTGCAGTTACCAATATCTCACTTGCAGTTAGAAATATCTCACTTGCATTTCCAAAATGGTCACGGTAGTATGATATTACGTACAAGATATTAGTTTTTCATGCAATACCTTGAGTTTTTTTCGATTTTTCGAAATGTGAATAATTTAGTTTATAATTGAAGGCATGTAGAGCAAAACACATTATGGTTAACTTTGATGCTTATTCTATTATTGAGAATAGATTTGTAGTTCTAAGGTTTAAATATTCATTATTTCTGTATCGTGTTAAGTAATATAAATAATAATAATAACACCGGAAGGAAATTGAATTATTTTTTATTTAAATTACAATTAATAATTCACTTCGGTTCATTCTAATTTGTACTTGGTGTGTGACCGACTCTATGTACTCAAATTAAAGGTGAAAGTTGATAGTACAATAGTACAAATATAAAATAGTACAATAGTACAATAGTACTGCTGTCACTAAAAACTCCGGTTTAATTAAAGTACTGCACAAAAGTACAATAGTACTGCATAACGACTTCAAGTTACTTAGAGCAAGTTGAGTTGCACATAAATATTATGAAACCAAAACGGTACATTATACACCCACTTCTTGTACTTTAGGTGAAGATGAAATTGTACCTTCCTGGTTAAAAATCATTGGGCCTTAACTTTAAAACCATTTTTCACTCTTTAAATGAAGATTTTTCCTTTTTGGTATAATTTATATATTTTTAGAACTATTTATTTTAAACAATAATTTAATTATATTATTTCTACGGATTTTAAATCAGATATCAAAATTAAAAACAAAATCAAATAAAATTGCAAAGATTATTTATGTACGGTGGTAGACGATTATATCAATATGATGAAGACGACTTTCGATTTCAATTTTAATTATATCAAGCCTTTTCAACAGAATGGTTACAAAATAACACTGAAACAAAGAGAAGATTTCAATTTAAAAAGCTTTTCTTTTATTATTTGTACACTTGTAATGCAAAAAATAGCTTGCTAACAATTAAAACTTTTGTAAAAAGTCGTCACCATTATATTCGTAACATCGCCTACCACCGTTGCAATGTTGCATATCGTCATTTCTTTCATTTTACAACTTTATCGTTGAGGGTAGAAGGTCAAAATTATTATAGGTTTGGGCGGAATTTGTAAACAAGAATAGATTCATCAGTGTCGTTTAGTATCCGAGGAGGTTCAAAGCATTAAATTTGATAATTTTTATAATTCACATAATAGTTTCCTATGACCAGAATATTTTATTGATTTCTTATGTTAAAGATGTTAGGCTTCGACATCCGTCTTGTGTTTACATTACTGCCCAGAGACATTACACATATGCGTACACCTCTGAAATAACTTTCCTTGCATTATAACCTTGGACTAGTGTAGCCAGTATAGTATAAATATAGTATATGTATCAAGGTTGTATAAAAGGTTGCTTACTCTCTATGCGCTCCAATGTACGGAAAATGTCGTCTCCTTAGCATAGATAAAATTCGCATATGACATCACTCTCGGCTCTATAGTAAGTGACTTCATATGCGGATTCTATTTTTCTATGCTTAGGTGACGACATTGTCTAACCCTATATATAACCTTGATATATTGTGACATTTAGCAAAGGGTGGAGCTTAATATAAACTCATTCATACGCCCTAGAGGCAATCTTAGACAATCACTTAAACAGTCTTTATATCTATCTATCTATCTATCTATCTATCTATCTATCTATCTATCTATCTATCTATCTATCTATCTATCTATCTATCTATCTATCTATCTATCTATCTATTTATCTATTTATATATCTATTTATCTATCTATCTATCTATCTATCTATCTATCTACCTGGAAAGCCCCTCTACTAGTACTGCGATTATTGGTTGTAAGGTAGAACTTAAGGGAAAGGCAACATTCCTAGTCTTCCATGGTTAACATTCATAATAATTCATTGTTTACTTTCCAATATATGTTTTATGTATGTATGCATGTATGTATGTATATATGTATGTACAAAAACAAACAAAAATACTGGATTACCCAAAAAGGGTGAGACTGTAAGACGACCAACTAAACCTTGCAAAGCTAAGGTTAAATTAAGTCTTCTTTCTTGAATACGGTATTTTTACGATTTATATTAAATGATTAGGCAAAGAATAAACGTTTAAAGTTGTATGGGAATTATAAATATAAGGAAACAGATAGTATACATTCCGCTTAGAGTTGTCTCTTAAGTCTCATCCTTTGTGGGTAACCCTGTAGAAATTTAGTCAACATCTAATTTACAATTGATTGGACTGTTTATTGCAGAAAAATGATTTTATCTCGATCTAAGCCTGCAATACAAAACACTAATAAAGATGGGAAATCAGGTTCTGCCAAGAAGTCTGTTCTCAAAATGGAGGAATTTATTGAGAAACGGGACTATACGGGAGCCATGGCAATACTTGAGTTCAATCGAGCCTCTGGGAAGGGTGGAGAGGATGTGGATATGTGGTTAGGCTACTGCGCCTTTCATCTGGGGGACTACAAGCGCGCAATGCTTGAGTTCGAAGCAGTGACTCACTCTAAAAATCCGAATAAGTTAGTATGGATCAACTTGGCCTGTTGCTACTTCTACCTGGGTATGTATTCAGATTCTGAAAAAGCTGCAGAGAAGGCCGAAAAGTCCAGGCTTAGAACCAGGTTACAGTTTCATCTGGCGCATAAGTTTGGAGATGAGAAGAAGTTGATGCAGTTTCATCAACAGCTGGAGGACGTTATAGAGGATCAGCTTTCCTTGGCCTCCATACATTATTTAAGGTCCCACTATCAAGAGGCCATTGATATTTACAAAAGAATTCTGCTGGATAACCGTGACTATCTGGCCCTGAATGTTTACGTTGCATTATGTTATTACAAGCTGGATTACTACGATGTATCCCAAGAAGTGCTGGCCGTATATTTACAGCACTATCCTGACTCCGCTATAGCCATTAACCTGAAGGCCTGCAATCATTTCCGACTGTACAATGGCAAGGCGGCAGAACAGGAGCTAAAAACCCTTCAAGATCAAACTACATCAACATTTACCTTCGGACATGATCTTTTTAAACACAATTTGGTCGTTTTCCGAGGAGGGGAAGGAGCCTTACAGATCCTGCCACCTCAAGTAGATGTGATTCCAGAAGCTCGACTCAACCTTGTGATTTACTACCTTAAACAGGATGATGTAAATGAAGCGTATAATCTAATAAAAGATCTTGAACCAACCGTCCCCCAAGAGTATATTCTTAAGGGCGTGGTAAATGCCGCTGTTGGACAAGAAAATGGAAGCCGAGAACATCTGAAGATTGCTCAGCAATATTTCCAGCTTGTTGGAGGCAGTGCTTCAGAATGTGATACTATACCTGGAAGACAATGCATGGCCGCTTGCTTCTTCCTTCTCAAACAGTTTGATGACGTTCTCCTATATCTAAACAGCATTAAATCCTACTATTATAACGATGATACTTTTAACTTCAACTATGGACAAGCTAAAGCAGCAGTGGGAAACTACCAGGTGGCAATGTGATAAGTCGTCCTTAATTCAAAGGAATTGAGTCTTTGCCACATGTTCTGATTTTCTAATCCCTATATCAATGCAGTCCAATGTTTAAGACCTTTGATATTTCAAACTATGAATTGTGTGAGATCAAATAGTCTCAGTTTTAAATATCTTAGGTTTTCACAATCAGGTTTCAATGATAGAAACTTAAGTTGGAGGCAAGGCTCAATTCCTTCTCGGGGATATTCTTGGATATTCAGTATGCCCCTGTAAAAAAAGATTATTTGACACAAGTGTTAACAGTCATTAAGACCCAATTTTTTTTGTCTCTTTGTGGCAATGTTTTTCTTTTTTTATCAACTTTTCTCTCTTAGCAAATTAATGATAGACATTGATTCACAGTCATGTTTGATAAATTCTATTTATTCACTAAGATGAACAGTGCATTCAAAATAGTTATATATATTTTTTCAAAATTAAGATAATGTTGTTTTTTTTAACAGGAGGCTGAAGAAATATTCCTAAATATTAGTTCTGAAAAGTTGAAGCAAGATTACGCATATTTATCTTGGTTAGCTCGCTGCTATATTATGAATGGTAAATATGTTAAAATATTTAAATATTAATAATTTGATAAACTAAAAAGTTTGAATATTATTAACAATGCTTTAAACAGACATTTAAAAAGTCATAAGTAATTTTAAAAAAATATAAGATTTTTGTTTTTGTTTATTAAAATTCGCGCTTTTACTAATAATCCCTTGATCTGTTCATTACTTTCAAGAGTCTTCCCAAGAATATCATAAAGGAATTGAGTTTTTGCCACAAACGCAAATTTTCTAATCCCAATATATTCGTAACCAAATAACTAGGAATTCCGTTAGATCAGATAATCTAATTTTGAAATATATCAGGTTGTATATATAATAACAGAATTAGAAATTTTTATTTTGTGGGAAAGACTCAATTCCTTTATTAATCTAAAAGTTTGCTTTCACATGGAGTGCAACATTTCTTTAAAATTTATGAAGCTTACAAAAGCAAAAAAGTGATTGTTCAAAAGTCAAAACGTCTTGGTTAATATTATTATTCAGGTGAAAATTCAGCAACATGTTTTAAAAAAACAAACTTACACAGAATATGATTTTGAAATAGAAATTATTTCCGTTTTTTTGGAGATTCTTAAAATTCAAAAACCCTAATTTCAAGTTAAGTTATTCTTCAGGAGTACATATGCGATTCACAACCTTACCCTTTAAACCTTTGTCTGATCATGGATGAACGAAATATCCAAGTTTTTCTCTCTGAAAAATTAATCCTTTTTGATTGTGGTTTATTTATAAAATCATGGATTTAAAACTTTTCCTCACTGTTAATCAGATAAAGGTTTAAAGAGTACCGTTGTAAATTGGACATGCCACTTTATAAATGGAAGGTAACTTGAAATATCGTCTTCAGTCCCTTTAAAAAGAAAAATCCATGATTAGGTAAGGGTAGACTAGCCTGGGAGCTGTACTTGAAAATGGAAACTTCTGGAGAATCATTTTCCCTCCTACAGCTGATTGCAAACGATTGCTATAAAATGGGACAATTCTACTACGCTGCTAAGGAAATAATAGTTAATCAATAATACTGAGATATTAGAGACAACTCTGAAACATCAAATTTTTGGACATCCTCGGCTTTAAAGTGTCGAAACGCCTTGGTCTTATGTCACCAACTCAGTTATACTTTTTTGTAGACCTAGACATAAGCAGTTTAAAAATGCTTTGTGTTTGCTTCCAGATTAAATGTAAAACGAGTAATTGGCAAAATACTGCTTAATTTTTGTGTGAGAGTGTGCACAGCTCGGTTTGCAGTGTTAAAAAGATTTGACGTTCAAAACTCCCATTTTGGGGGTGGATACGTTTTCAGAATTAGTTTTTTTAAATTATTATATAACGACAACGAAAAATAAAGTAAAAATTATACAGTAATCTAATTAGATGGTTAGGAACATATTTTTCAAAAGAAATTCGTCAATAAATCAATGTTAAAATCGATTATTTCGTTTTCATTATTATATTGAATTTCTAATTTTCTTTGAATTTATTCGCAGAATTTTTCAAATCCTTCAAATGTCGTCTTTTCAATAATAATTCTAGAAAATCCGCAAAAATCTTTGTGAATAGTGAGAAACCAGAATAATGAGAAAATAGAACCTAATAATTGAACAAGGTTACTTATTTTCGATGAAAAGATTAATTCTTATTTTCTCAACATGACGTCTATAGTCTCTGTAGTTTATTGTAGAACTTTTTTCATTTTATGTCGTCGTTATTTAATAATTAAAAAAAACTAATTCTGAAAACGTATCCACCCCCAAAGTAGGAGTTTTGAACGTTGAATTTGCGCTCAAACTCAGGGTTTACAGATCTTTAAAAAGTTTAATATGTCTCAAATGAATCCGAAAGAAGTTTTCCACAACACTGCATACGCAGTTCAACTACCTTACATAGCCGGTCACTCCCTTAAAGACGATTTAAATAATCGTGTAAGCTTATATTTTCCATGGTAGGGACCGTAGGGTCAACATTTGTGAGGATATTTTAGAAAACCCCCTGAAAATGTAGATTAAACATATAGAAAATGTCACACTTAAAAGGACTGTCCTGGTCGTTTTTAGGATTACGTTGTGAATGAAAATGTAGCTTTAAAAATGGAGTCTTTTGAAATAACCTCTAGCTTTAAACACCTTTTTGGGGTTCAAACCCTGATGAGTGTATAGCGGATCGAAATACATATCTCTAGCATGATCATATCTCTACGGTTTCTTTAAAAGTTTTTTTTAACACGAACAAACTAAGCTAGTGGAGTAATTCAAATGGGATACTGTAAAAATTTGGCCGCGCCATCAAAGTTGAAACGGGGCAGACATAGGATATACAATATACAAGGGCCGGTACATGCTGCTTACCAGTGAGACCGGTACATGCCGGTACAAGGGGTTGGTCCGGTACGAATTAAAATTGACCCTAGTCCACTGAGTGAAATAACTATTGTTTTCTCGAAGGCTTTTGATATGCTTGAACGGTTGGACCCTAACCCTGAATACTGGGAGGGGAAACGAGGAGCATGTGTAGGAGTTTTTCAGATGATTATTGCAGGTTAGTTATTAAACTTAAACAACAAACTTAGGTATAGGGGTAGATCAAATAAGCCTACCTAGTTAACAAAAGGGAGGAATTTCCCCAAATTCTCCAGTTTCGGTGGTTTGCTTTTAAGAATTTCCGAGGAATTTCTCGAGAACAAGTTCTTGTGAATTATTCCTTGGAAATTCTCGAGAATTTCCCAAGAATTAGTCCCCAATTTTAGAGATTTTTGGGGGTCATAGTTTTGAGACTGAGTTTCCAGAATTTCTCCGTCAATTCCTGAGAAATTCTTAGGACTTGGTCCCTCATTTTACGAATTTTTCGAGGAAAAGCATTTTAGACATGGTCTCAAGAAATTCCTGAGAATTTCTCAGGAATATTTCTCCGGAAAGTCCTGGTCACATAATTTAAGGGATTTTATGGGGAACTGAATAAGAGACATAGTTTCAAAAAATTCCTAAGAATTTTTCAGGAATTTTGCTCCCAAAAATTTCTGAGAATTTCTTAGGAATATTTCTCCGGAAATTCCTGAGAAATTTTCAGGACTCCAACGCAAATTTTACAGAATTTATAAGTTCCGGCATAGGATAGGGTTGGGCCAATACTTGCCTTGCGTCACTAAGACCCTTGTCCACTGCCATTTCACGTCAAAATTAAGTAAAGGAATTCAGTTTTTGTCATTAACTCGATTTTTTAAAATCCCTATATCTTTGCAACCCACTATTGATATTTCAAAGTAAAAATTATGTTAGATCAAATAGTCCAAGTTTGAAATATAAAAGGTTTACACCATCAGGTTGCAAAGATGTAAGGATTAGAATATTTGAATTTGTGGCAAAAAGTCAATTCCTTTAATTTATAAGATTGAACTAAATCTGGCATGTTTTTTTTATTATATACCTCCTTTTCCAAAGAACTATTGAAAATAAAATAAAGTTTTGAATTTTTAATAAGGAACCTTAAAAATTTGCTTTTACCTTTTCCATAATAAAGTGACGCTGATTTACTTGTATAAAAGAAATGACTCCGATTGTCCGCGGAAATTTAAAGTGGTGTGCTATTTGAAATTGAATTTGACGCTACCAATATTATTTTTATTTTCCATCTATTTGAAAAATTGAAATTGGCAACCCGGAGTAATCCTTCAGTTCGTGTTGTTTCAAAATTAAAACTTTAATACATTAAAAAGAATAAAGTTTCCTTCAGAAAAATATAATTTTTGAGGCACTAAAAGGGACTGTAAGCCTAATTTAATGTGACTCTTCGTGAAAAGATGGCAAGGCCCGATTTATAACGATATCCTGAAAGGCTAAAGAATGTTATTGTACTTTCTCAAAGGATTTTTCCCAATTGGCAACTTCCCAAGGACATCTTCCCAAGTAGCAACTTCCCGAATGTGCAATTTCCCAAGCGGCAACTTCCTAAGGCTGTCCTAGCCGCAGTGCTCGGCCCCTATTGCACGTCTGGGAAGTTGCCACTTGGGAAATTGTCACTTGGGAAAGTACACTTCCTAAAAGCATTTGACAGATCAAGTCAAATGTTTAAAGGAGACTGTTGTAAATCTGACATAGTCCTCTTTGCATGGAGGGTCGCTTCAAATTTCGCTTACAGTCCCTTTAACAAAAAAATGTTTGAAAAGCCTCCGATTTATGAAGAAAAAAATCATTTCAATTATAGCACATAGATAATAAAATCTATTATTTTAGATCGAGAGGATCGAATTCTTTTATTTTAGATCGAGAGGATCGTCAAGCTTTGGCGGATGTCATTCAGATTCTGAGAAACACATCAAACCCTCAAGTTGAAAATATAATCAAAGTGATGAAGAAATGGGCCAAAGATAACAGGGTGCCTATCTAACATCAAAATTAACAAAAAAATATTTGTTGCACAAAAAAATATTTACAACTAAGTAGAAAGCGCTCGTATGTAATTTGATCTCCTTATGAAATAAAAAAGTGTATTTTAATTTGTTGTCTTAAAATATTCATTTGTTCTCATGTCAGAAATGTATTTTCTCTGTGTCGAAAATTGTTTTCAGTTGCATGGTCCGAGCCGGTACAATATGTACAGTTCGTGCATTCACTTGTACCTACCAGTCTAGACAAGAGCCGGTACAATATGTACTGTTCGTGCATTTACTCGTACCGACTAGTCTAGACCAGAGCCTGTAAAATATGTACTGTTCGTGCATTCACTTGTAACGACCAGTCTAGACCAGAGCATAGTACAATATGTATTGTTCGTGCATTCACTCGTACCGACCCGTCTAGACCAGAGCCGGTACAATATGTACTGTTCGTGCATTTACTCGTACCAACCAGTCTAGACCAGAGCTGGTACAATATGTATTGTTCGTGCATTTACTCGTACCAACCAGTCTAGACCAGAGCCGGTACAATATGTATTGTTTGTGCATTCACTCGTGCCAACCAGTCTAGACCAAAGCCGGTACAATATGTATTGTTCGTGCATTCACTCGTACCGACCAGTCTAGACCAGAGCCGGTACAATATGTATTGTTTGTGAATTTACTCGTACCAACCAGTCTAGACCAGAGCCGGTACAATATGTATTGTTCATGCACTTACTCGTACCGACCAGTCTAGACCAGAGCTAGTACAATATGTATTGTTTGTGCATTCACTCGTACCGACCCGTCTAGACCAGAGCCGGTACAATATGTACTGTTCGTGCATTTACTCGTACCAACCAGTCTAGACCAGAGCTAGTACAATATGTATTGTTCATGCATTTACTTGTACCGACCAGTCTAGACCAGAGGCAGTACAATATGTGCTGTTCGTGCATTCACTCGTACCAACCAGTCTAGACCAGAGCCGGTACAATATGTATATCACTAAATCAAAGAATTATTTAAAAAGACGATGATGAGAGACGGAAAGAGAATAGTATCCCTGTAACCATCTCTGAGTGAAGTCTGAACCCGGAGAAACTAAACCTCCGTTGTCTGGGTTCACGCTGTTCTCACGTATACACGGAGTTATCTGCAACATGGTTCCCGTCCTGGTTCCGATTAAATCATGGAAAACATTTTCTTTCTAGTAAAATGGATTTCATGTCACGTGATTTCAGATTTTAAACAGAAATCCACTTTTCATATTTCGTTCTATTTTTGATAAATTTTTTACGTTGTTTAACAGGAATAGTATATATATATACAAACTACAAAAGTTTTTAACGGTGTGAGCTATAGAAAAGAAGAACGGGATAGAGGGGGAGGGGGGTCTACGTCTTATATCAAACTACCAAAAAAACGTTTTATCACATAAATGTATCTTTCTGTAAAGGTAATCTACTTTTGGATATTTCTATCTATCTTTGGTCTATTTATCTATCCATCTATCTAACTATTTGTTATTCAAGGAAATTGACTACTGAGGATCGTCATGAGACGTGAAACATTATGTTTAGTATTCTTTTTTAATAAAATGTGAAGTTTAAAAACTGAAAAGTAACTATTTACATTGCTATATTTGATATATTTGTGTATCTAACAATCTTTATTACTTTCCATCTATCCCTCTTTCTATCTGCATTATAAGAAAATTGAGTATGGAAAAATCAATATCATGAATCCCCTCACGCTAACCACCCCCCAATAAACAATTTTGAATGTAGAGTTTAAATTATTAAAAACCAAAGCTAAACAATTTTGAATGTAGAGTTTACATTATTAAAAACCAAAGCTAAACAATTTTGAATGTAGTGTTTAAATTATTAAAAACCAAAGCTATAAACAATTTTGAATGTAGTGTTTAAATTATTAAAAACCAAAGCTAAACAATTTTGAATGTAGAGTTTACATTATTAAAAACCAAAGCTAAACAATTTTGAATGTAGAGTTTAAATTATTAAAAACCAAAGCTAAACAATTTTGAATGTTGAGTTTAAATTATTGAAAACCAAATCTAAATAATTTTAAATGTTGAGTTCAAATAATTCTTGTTCTCATCAAAACCCAGAATGCGCCAATTCCTACCATGAAAATCCGTCAAATAGAATATTAAACCGGTTTTTTTAAACTCAACTCTGTGGAAAATAAGACGTAGCTTGAATCCGAAAGCTGAAGCCGTAAATAAGGCCCATTGACAGCTTAGACCCCAGCCGTATTTTCCCGATTTTTTAAATTGCGGGCTCAGAGCTGGATAATTTTGAATGATCAGATTGATCAATGATCGGGAAGATTTACCGATCTCTAACTGGGAAAAAATATTGAAATTTCGAATTAAAGTAACAGAGCTAACTAAAATGTTCAATTTTATGTTGTACGAAATTTCCAAGTTTTTCAGATAGTTTACGGAGTTTAAAATATGAAATTTCAATGAGAGATTGAATAAGGCAGCTCCAAAAAGGTAACTTCATTATAAGATTGTGAAGCTAAAGGGGTTAGGAACAGCAAATACTTACAGAAATGTTTAAGACCGTGCGTGCTTTTAAAAGTTGCATCAATTTTTAAGACTGGGTCGCTTTAGCAGTGTCGCAGTGCCCTGGCCTTTTAATTTTCTTCACCAACTTACTTTTTTTTTGTAGCCTTAGACATGTACATTTTAGCTTTAGGTTGGAAGAAGTAATTGGCAAAATTCTCATCAATTTTTTAAAAAAGTGCTTGCGACCTTTGAATTACTGTGTAGTGTAGTATGTAAAAACAATGTTTCATGGCCTTAATGCATTGATAATGATAATGGTCAAATACAGGGTGTCCCAATAAACATGGGAATTCTGTAACGAATTCGATATCTTCTTTGTTATGAATTAGCATTGTAATATCTAATTTATAAAACCATAATATCATTAAGTGTCTGCTAGAGTTTATTTAATGGAAACGGTAAATGGCTGTAAAGATGTGTCTATAATGTCTCCGCAAGATGAACAGTGAAGACGGACAAGTTTACTATGTTTGTATACTGTAATTTTCTTGTTTTACCAAGAACAACCATATGCAGTCAAAACATAAACAAACAAAATGTGAACAAAGCAGACGAAAATCTTACAGATTACGCTTTCACCTAGTAGGTATCACTAAATCAAAGAATTATTTAAAAAGACGATATCGAATTCGTCACTGAATTCCCCTGTTTATGGGGACACCCTGAACAACATGGAACTGAAATTTCATTGGTTGAGCATTTAAAACAAAAGTATAGGGCTTAGCAATCTAAAGGATTATTTTCCATCTAAAAGTTTTCTGTTGAGAACAATGTTTTAATAGTGCGGTTAGGCTCCAGAGCGTTTAGTTTATAATACCTCGAAAAGTTTTAATTTTTAACCCGATGTAACAATTTTTCTGCAGCAAAACTTTTGGTTTTGTGTAAGTGTGTTTGTAAAAAGATGGAGAAAATAAAATATGACTGAAAACCCTCCTTTAGGAATTTAAATGTGATTGGAAACCATCCTTTAGTAAATATAATGTGACTGGAAACCATCCTTTAGTAAATATAATATGACTGGAAACCATCCTTTAGTAAATATATTGTGATTGGAAACCATCCTTCAGTAAATATAATGTGATTGGAAACCATCCTTTAGTAAATATATTGTGATTGAAAACCATCCTTTAGTAAATATAATGTGATTGGAAACCATCCTTTAGTAAATATAATGTGACTGGAAACCATCCTTTAAAAGAAACAATGAAAATCATAATTTTAAAATTCAAATGAATTTATAAATGCTCAAAAAGAGGTTTATCTATTACGTTCTTTTCTAACTTACCATAACCCTTTCCCACACCAAAATAATGGTTTCGACTAAATATTTTAAATTTTTCGGCAAGAAATATATTTTTTCTTTCAAAAATGCAAAAAAAATCAGCATGCTATTTTAAAACACACACAGAGAGGGGGGGGAGGACATTAACACTCCCGATGGGGGGAAGGGATTAACTAAAAGGGGGGGGGGGGTTAAAAAGCTGGAAGGGGGCAAGATATAATAAATGTGTTTTTTTATCTAAACAAAAATTAATTTACAATTTTTTTTGTTAAGCAAGAATGTAAGATACTAATAGCTGAAGTTCCCCGGCGTTCATCGTGGAATTAAAAAAAAAATGTTGAAGAAAATAAATTTATAACTTTTTAAGCCCATGCCACGCTACCCATGAGTGTCCACAAAAATTGTTTAGCCCAATCGGTCCAGCCGTTTGGCTGGCTAAAGGGAACATAAATACGAATGTCTTGTTTTATTATTTATATAAAGTTGATTAACTTAACATGTATTAAATTGTATTAAACATCAAAGGAGAGAAACAAGTTCTTTAGAAAAATTACGTTTTTGAAACAAAATTTACAATTTGTTTAGAAAACTCAAACTTAGAAAGAATTATCAAAGCTCATAAATATTTTATTTCATTTTTAGAAAATTTAACATGATTCTTGGACAATTAGTAAAAAAATGATATATTTTAAAATAAAATAAGACAATATAATTTAGAATTATGGTTCACCGGGTAGAAAAATATAATTTTAAAAGAAATAAAAATTTTTGACAATTATTGCTTCATAAAATTGAAACTAAAAACAAGTTTTTTTATAAATGATTGGTTGTCTTTTTATAATAATAATGATAATAATAATAATAATAATGTAATGTTTAGGAAAAAAAAATGTATGAGTGAGTTAAGGAAGTAAAATCAAAGGCCATGGCGTGGTGACACTTTAGGGTCGACCGGGTTTTAAAAATGATGCAGCTTATAGCTGATGCAGCTTATAGCTGATGCAGCTTATAGCTGATGCAGCTTATAGCTGATGCAGCCCCTTATTATGATAATTTTCAGAATTATTAAAAACCTACAAAGTCCTGTGTCAATGGAGGTATTTATTTATATCTAAAATTTCAAAAGATATAGCTCTGAAGAAAAATAAATTGAATTCTCTTGGAGTTGCTCAAAATTAGAAATACTAGGAGTCAAGTTTGATTTTTTAAATCTCAATACAGAATAAATTGTACACACAACTCATATCAAATTAGTTTTTAAAAATGTATTACAAACTGTAATTTTTAATCCCTGTATCTTTTATACCTTTGATATTTTAAACTTTTGATTAAGGAGAATTCATAGTTCCAAATATGCAATATGCATGGTCTACTGCATCATGTTGCAATGATATACAGACCAGAATATAAGTTCTTGTGGAGGGGAGGTCACAAAATCGTGATTTGGTATGAATTTGAAAGATTGTGATATGACCTATCAAGTTATGTGACTTTAAAAAGCTACTCAAAGACTTAGTGGCGCAGTATTGAAAAATATGTGATTTACTTTGATTTTTAAACAACACCAGTTTTAAGAAAAAACAACCACTGATGCTTTTTTTATTTTAATTGGTGAAAAATCTTAATAAAAAATACATTAAAACTTTATACTTTTGTGATAAGTGTTTTGTTTTGAAAAGCATAATTTATGATTTAAAATCACAAAATAATTGTCGCTTTTTTTCAGCAAAATGTGATAAAGTTTTATATTAAATATTGTATCTTTTTCACTTTTTTGAGTTTTAAGTTAAAGTTTTAAGTTTTGGATTTTTAAGATTAAAACTTGATATCGTTTATCTTACTAAATATATACTACTGAATGCTCCAATGAAAATTTAAGTCAAATCGGTCCTGAGGTTCATGAATTAGGATAAGACATCAAAAACAGACAAATAGAGATTAAGAGATTAATACTTGATATTGGCTTATTCTCCATCTAGAAACAGATTGACAAATAAATATTATTATGCAGGTTAACAAGATTAATAAAGATTGATATTGGAAAATGGTTATTTCTTCAGGAAAGAATGTTTTTGATGTTTTTTTTCTGTTACAACACATAGCCCTTAAAAGTTGGGCCATTAAGTGAATGCAAAGTTTTTACAAAATATTAAAAATTTTGAATTAGTTTGCTTGACAATAAAAAACAATCTTTTCTAAAATTCTTAGCTATGGATAAAATTTATTTACTACGGATAAAATATATCCAGTTATAAACTAGAAGTTCTGAAAGAAGTAACAATTGAAAACTTTTAAGATATAAGGGAGTGTTCTCGAAAAATGAAAAGAGGTATGCTTACGGCGAAAAATAATCGCTTTTGATCGCTATTAATCTTACTTCTATCTGTTGCGTCTATAAGGAGAAAATTGTTAAAAACGACTTATACAGAAGATTGTAGCGCCCATACAAATTCAGAAAGTTGCAAAACGCGACTCGGCTATAATCATCGATTATTTTTCGACGCATTCGTATATAGTTAATATTTTTTCTTAATGTTTGTTAATTGTTTTATACCAATGCACTTAAAACGACGTTTTTTTCCGCATATGCAATAATTCAAAGCATCGAGAGCCCCCTCCCATTTAAAGCGATTTCTACAGAACCTTTGAGAAAAAGAAATAGAAAATAAGACCTTCTGCTTTAATGGTGAATTTAGGGGAAATAAATAAATAAATATTTTGCATAGGCAAACTTTTTAAATTATGTCCAGTCCGTTTTTAAATTTTCCCTGGGGTCATATCAGGTCTAACGAAAATTCGTGTCTGATCAGTTCTGTTATTAAGATGATCAATTATGAAACACAAAAAAAACATAACCGCCAAATAATATTATAGATATAAAGTAAACATCTCTATTTGTTTTTGTGTGTTTCAAAAACCACTTGCCACAAATTTGTATTGAACAACTTGGTAAGACCTGATATGATGGGTTGACTTTAATACTTTTATAGGGAAAGTTAAGTTCCCAGAAACAAAGCTTGGTTCTCAAATAAATAAATTTATATACGAGGTAGAGGTAAGGGATTTAAACTTGGAATTCAATAAGTTAATATATATATTCTTCAAATTCAATATATAAACAGACTATAGGATATCCACAACAGTAGATTATATATATACAAAGGATAAGATTCAAGTTTATTATTCAACTCCATTCATAGATGGATGGATATAGGTTGGTATTATACCTAGAGGCTTAGAACTCAGGATAGCAGGACCAAGGAGGTTAGAACTAAGGATGGTGGGATAGATTGATATAGGCAAGGAATAGATCAAGAAGGTTAGAACTAAGGATAGTGGGATAGATGGATATAGGTTAGGATTAGACCAAGGAGGTTAGAACTAAGGATAGTAGGATGGATGGATATAGGCTAGGATTAGACCAAGGATACTAGAACTAAGGCCAGTGGGATTGATGGATATAGGCCGGATTAGACCAAGGAGGTTAGAACTAAGGAAAGTGGGATAAATGGATATAGGCTAGGATTAAACCAAGGATACTAGAACTAAGGACAGTGGGATATATGGATATAGGCTAGGATTAGACCAAGGAAGTTAGAACTAAGGACAGTAGGATATATGGATATAGGCTAGGATTAGACCAAGGATACTAGAACTAAGGATAGTGGGATTGATGGATATAGGCCGGATTACACCAAAGAGGTTAGAACTAAGGATAGTGAGATAGATGGATATAGGCTAGGATTAGACCAAGGAGGTTAGAACTAAGGATAGTGGGATAGATGGATATATTCCGGATTAGACCAAGGAGGTTAGAACTAAAAAATTATTATTATTTAATATTTTATTTAACAAAACAAAGTAGTGTGAAGAAATGAGTAATATATTCTACAGAAAATCTCACTAAAACCATTTCAGAATAATTTCCTTCACAACTTTTTATTCAGAGTTTCTTATAAGATTAAAACAAACTTAAAAATTATTTTCTATAGAACTGTTTAGGTCGAAACTTATATATTTTAAACCTTTCTCGGAGTACTCATCCCAAGAAATATATATTGACTAGGAACAGTCATATCTAATGTGTCAAATCTGTGTACTGCAGGGGGAGGAGATCAAAACAAAGAAACCAGATCAATCCAGTGTGTGTGAAAATTATATACCGTACCCTTTGGGAGCAATGTAAACAAACTCAAACAGTACTTTTTTTTACTTGTGTTTTGACAGAAATATCTAAGAAATAATTATGATCTTTTTTCATTTGTTTATTAGTATTTTTCTATTTTTCTATTTTGCTTTAAATTGTATATTTTTACGGTTTTAAGCCGCAGCAGATCTTTATAAACGCGAAAAACGTTTTAATCCTAATTCTTTGTTTTGATCTTCTCCTACTGCAGTACATTATTTAAAATATCTGCACCGGATTTTGACTTTTGCCTAAGAATCTAAAGAGGAAGCAAGATGACTATTGCCCCGGCCCCCTCCTCCCTGGAATACGTGAATGGTTCCAAGGAACCAAGATTAAAATAAAAACATCTCAATAAATTCCGTACAGTCGTCTCTGAAGTCTGATCCTTCACGGGTTAAGCATGTAGCTTAAAATTAAAAGATAATCTTATGGGTATAAAGATCAGTACTTCGACACGTGATGGATCGACTTTACACTGGGTAGTCCAGATTGGACAGTACGACAGTATATGATGTATAGGCTCAGATCATGGAACTATTGGAGCAATGTGAGTTCTAACCTCGAGTTTATTTTCTCCGAGTGCAGTGTTCAGATGGAACAGATATTCTCCCTGAGCCAGAAATTTAAAAGAGAAATCGTTGAACGAAACTGTCCAGTTTCTTTTTTGTGGTAACTACATTTATGTAGATTTACAACAAGAAATAGAAAATAAAACCATTAAAAATAATATTTCTTTACAATTAAATTGATATCAACAAAATTGCCTTACTAACCCCATTCGTGAAAGTGAAACCAGGATTCCGATACTGGGTTTCATGACTATAACCTGTCTTAAGTTTTAGGCTCTGTGTAGTGTTCAGAGGGAGCAGAGATCATGATATTTTACACTCTAGGTTGATAGCACCGTAAACCTTTATTAGAGTTTGAACCCAACCATTTCTCAGACATGGGATTCATTCCAGAGACTCAAGAAAATACATATTATATTGTACAGTGAGAACCCAAAACTTTGGAATTGGAAGTGGAAATTAAAGCAATAATTAAGTGTATTTGATGTTGTTACAAAGCAAATAGTTTTGCAAGTAAATTATTAAATCACTTATTAAGTCTGTTTAACCTGTACAATTGCTGTGTCTTATGTTCATTGGATACAAAATCATAACTTTAGTCTAAAAGTCGTCTTTCTCTTTCATAGTTTTCTGGTTCTCAATGTACATTTAATGAAAATTGAACCATTTTGGTATATTAGTCAAGGGGTTCTTAAGTTATGATCAGACATCCCAACAAACAGACAGACATACATGCAGAGATTACTACTTTATATATTTAGATGCTTTGATTTAAAAAAAAAGTTATATTAATGATAAAAACATACCTGATTGCTACTTTCTATATAAATAAAGACCATTAATGATGCGTCTTGTTTAGAATTCCTCTATGGTTGAAAATTGCTTAAGTTCTTTATGGATTGAAGATATTCATAATTTTGGTTTACGCTTTCGATTTTAATTAAAATTGTTAAGGCATTCTTTTTTCTAATTTCTCTTTGAATTAAACTATGTGGATTTGTCTTGTTTATAATTTTTCTATGATAAACACTTTTTCAGGATGCGTCTTGTCTCTTGTTTCTCTATGGCCCGTGATCCCGAGTGTGTAGACGCCCTTCAAACCTGCTACAGTGAGTAAGTATCAGAAGTGAGTAAGTAGCAGAAGTGAGTAAGTAGCAGAAGTGAGTAAGTAGCAGAAGTGAGTAAGTATCAGAAGTGAGTAAGTAGCAGAAGTGAGTAAGTAGCAGAAGTGAGTAAGTTTGAGATTGGAGCACGAATCAGAAGCGGGTAAATATCAAAGGAGGGAAAATGTATAAGAAACAACTACACAAAGAATCTGTCAATTTTTGATAGATATAAAGCTTTAAAAATGTTCCCAGATTTACTATTCTTTACTGTACTGTACTGTAAGCTGTGATCACTATAATGAAGTCTATGAATCATGATTGTTCATTCTAATCATAAAATTTGTTTTTAAAAGAATTAATGAAAAAACAGAGAAACGGTTCAGAAACTTCCCCGCCCCCCGCTGCTCCTCGGGTTCAGAGGGTAAGGTCTCCTAAACCGCCCCCCCTCCCATTTTAATATCTAAATAAGATATTTACTCTATTTAGTTCTGATGAAGAAGATCTAAGAACTGAACAGCTCCTTCTTAGGGACGAGTGGAGAAATCTGTTCGATCAGTTCGATCCCGAGGTATGTTTAATCCCTATTCTTGGATCCCGAGGAATGTTAAATCCCTATTCTTGTCCCCGAGGTATGTTGGATCCCTATTCTTGTCCCCGAGGTATGTTGGATCCCTATTCTTGGATCCCGAGGTATGTTTAATCCCCATTCTTGGATCCCGAGGTATGTTTGTTCCATATTCTTGTATCCCGAGATATGCTGAATCCCTATTCTTGGATCCCAAGGTATGTTTGATCCCTTTTCTTGGATCCCGAGGTGTGTTTAATCCCTATTCTTGGTACTTGATGTATTTTTGATCCCTATTCTTGGTACTTAAGGTATGATTGATCCCCTTTCTTGAATTCCGAGGTATATTTGATCCCTATTCTTGGATCCCGAGCTATGTTGGATCCCTATTCTTGAATCCAGAGGTATGTTTGATCCCTATTCTTGAATCCAGAGGTATGTTTGATCCATATTCTTGGATCCCGAGGTATGTTTGATTCCTATTCTTTCATTACTTATAGCAGTGTTGTATATTTTCCTAAAAAAAAACTATAACCCCCCCCCCCCTTCAAAATAATTTGTTTTCCAGAATTTGGGTGCGTTTGCGCAGAGTGGCAATAAATAGGAATTAATTCGCTGATTTTTGGGGAACAAACTACAAAGTGTCAAAAGTGAAAAAGAAAACTTCCCTTTTTGATGTCAGATTTAAGTTTTTTCCCCAGATTATCAAAAATAATTTTAGCAATTTCTAGGGATTTGGAGAAATACCCTGGACTGATTTCTTCATAGTGCTGGCTAGTCCTAGGTTTAAGGAACATGTATCAGATGAGAAAATAGATCGGCTTCTGGAACTAGCTTATCAGGTGTCATATATTTTAAAGATTGATCTCAATCTTATGCAGATCTACTTAATCCCTTTTTAATATTCCAAGATAGTTGTACCCCGCACAAGGACAATTGTGAGATCATCAGTGATGCTTAAATTTAAAATTGTCCATATTGGATATCGAGATTAAGCGTTAAAGATAACAATATCCGATCTCTGTGCAAAGAAACTGATAACTTGAATCTTAAATTTTCTTTTCACTATATCTTTACAACCAGGTGGTGTAAACCTTTATACTTTGACTTTGTGATTTAGGGAAATTCATAGTTTTACACATCAAAAGGTCTAAAACATTAGGTTGCAATGAAATAAAGATTAGGCCATTAAAGTTTGAGGCAAGTAATCATCTTTTTTCTTCCCTTCTATAGATTCGAAATTCGCAGAATTCAATTTGAACTTCCAGAATATTTTTCAGATTGGTTGAACCAGAATTTTCAAATTGTATGCTATTCATAAAGTTTGGATGACTCGACCTTTGTTTGGTGCCTTTTTCTTTAAAATTTAAAACATTATTTGAAATAAGATTGTAACTTTGGTTCAGCAAAAAGTGTATCGTTTTTCTTTATTTTAAAGAGACTGTATGCGTAATTCCAAGTGAGCCTCCATAAAAAACAAATACCGGTTCATATGGTTCTTTAGGGTACCTTTAGTGAATAGGGCATGCGTCACTCGCTAAATAGACGGTCCCTTAACAGCAAGGTAATAAGGCAAAGAAAGTTAATTGCGGTTGCGTATTCTCTGCGTACATATTGAAACCAGTTCTCTCTGGGCGGAATTTGTAAACAAAAATAGATGCATCAGTGTTTCTTTAGTATCCGAGGATAATAAAAGCATTTCATTTCGATAATTTTGATAGTTTACATAATAGTTTCCTTTGACCAGGAGTGTTTCATTGATTTTTTTATGTAAAAGATGGATCCAAAAAGATGCGCGTACAAAAGATGCGTACACCTCGGAAATAACTATATTTATACATTATATAATTCTGTGCTTTAAAGAATAGAACTGAGGTAGATTAGAGAGAAGGAAAGTGGAATTTGTCCGAAACATTTTTCATCCCAAGTTTTCCTATTTTCTTGAATTCATGGCTCAAGTTTTCAACCCAACTCTGGTTTTAACTGTGAGAGTCTAAAATAAATCTTATTTAGTTTCCTCCAGTTTCCTAGGCCAAATATTATGATATATTTCAAGTCAACAGAAGGCACAAAGCATAAATTTCTAGATAAATGGCACATGCATTTTACATTACATTTCAACACTTTTTAGACTATCCTACAGTGGGATCCATTAAAATGTGAAATAGCAAAGACTACTGCTAGACACTGTAAGCTACACAAATGTTTAGCTCTTTACACCATTTTTTTTTTCAATAGCTATTTAACACGCAAAACTGGTTGCGGATATGATGCAGAACGATGAACAAAACTGGTTGCGGATATGATGCAGAACGATGAACAAAACTGGTTGCGGATATGATGCAGAACGATGAACAAAACTGGTTGCGGATATGATGCAGAACGATGAACAAAACTGGTTGCGGATATGATGCAGAACGATGCACAAAAACTGGTTGCGCATATGATGCAGAACGATGCACAAAACTGGTTACGCATATGATGCAGAACGTTGCACAAAACTGGTTACGCATATGATGCAGAACGATGCACAAAACTGGTTACCCATATGATGCAGAACGATGCAAAAAACTGGTTACGCAAATGATGCAGAACGATGAACAAAATTGATCGCGCAAATAATGTGGAACGATGCGCAAAACTGGTTGCGCATATAATGCAGAACAATGCGCAAAACTGATTGCGCATAAAATGTGGAACAATGCGCAAAACTGTTGCACATAAAATGCGGAACTATGTCAAAAGCTGGTTTCGCAGCGCATTTAATGCGGAACAATGCGCAAAACTGGTTGCGCATATAATGTGGAACGATGCGAAAAACTGTTATGCATATAAAGTGGAACAATGCAAAAAACTAGTTGCGCAACACATATAATGCGGAAGGATGCGCAAAACTGGTTGCGAATGATGTAGAACAATGAGCAAAAGCTGTTTCGCTTAATTCACAAAACAAGCACAAAAAGTATCTTCTTGTCTTTGAAATCATATTTTAATATTTTATGATAAAGCAAATAATGGATTATCAATGGTTTCTAAAAATACTGGTTTCTATCAAATTCTTATTATATTCTATCAAATTGATATTTTTGAAACCCATCAGAAGCAAATAGTAAAAATCAAATTAGAATAAACAATGGGTTTACGGGCTGGTACGAATTTATACGATTACACCAGATCAGTAAATCCTTATTTTGGTTCGGATCATGCGACGATTGGACCAAAATGAAGTTCTTTCAGAGTTTTGGAGAGGTTTAACACGAGAAAAAGGTTTTCTTATAACAATGAACAGAGTGTCCCAATAAACATGGGAATTAGATGACGACTTCTATTGTCTTTGTTCCAAGCAAGATCATTTTGTAAATATGATTTTGTAGTAACACAGCTAAAACATTTATCCCCGAAAACTACTATTCTACCGGTCTACCATTTTTTACCATCAAAATTAACGGAGATATTGGGAAATTTGTCCAGATTCCAGTTTGGTAAAAATCAACAAAACTGTTCATATGTTTAATATCTCCGTCAATTTTAGAGGTCCAAGAAGGTAGACCTCATTTTGGAAAGCTCATTAGACGTTTCATCTTAATTTCATGCACTTTATGTCATTTATCAATTATCGAAAATCAAAGACGATATTCAAGTCGTCTTTCAATTCTCATGTTAATTGGGAAACCCTCTGTATAATATCATATAATTTTATACAGTATATATATATATAAGATGAAGCTAGTTAGTATAAAACTATGGGTTTGAGCTGAGTGGAAAAGTAGGATGAGTAGGATGAGTAGGATGGTAAAACGGGTCATTAAATCCATTCAAATTCTCCGACACAAGAATATACAGAGAGCATACTTCAGAGACGAGAATTTAAGAGAACGAATCAACGGTTATTCGAAACCTAAACTTTGACTTCAGATATTTTGAACATTTTTGAATATTGCACATTTGGGAAGTTTCCACTTGCCACTTGGGAAATTGTCACTTGGAAAGTAGCTCTTTGGAAAATACCTAAAACCCATAATATTATCTAAACTTTTACCAAATTTGCAATAAGGAAACAGTTTTATAAGATTTTGAGAAAAATTTTATTTTGCATGGCAATTTTAAAGATATTTAATGTATTTTTAAGTTATTTTATTTCATTAAAGTATCTATATATATATATAAAGTTGCAATCTCTGTTTGACTAACTGTCTGTCTGTTTTTTTTTGTCCGATCATAACTCAGGAACCTCTGGACCGGTTTTTCAGTAAAAATTTAGTTTCCCGGTAAATTCTTTCAAGTGCGGGTAGACGGCGGGAGTAATTTTTAGTAACCTTGGCAGCGCTGGGTTCTCAAACTAATATTTGATGGAATATTATTTATAATATTTCTGCATACTTTAAATAGATAATATGACAAACAGTTGTTAAACACAGCTTGGGAATAAATCAATCCATAAATTAAACATTAAAAAGTAAAATCCAGAAAAAAAGAAATATTGTCCTAAAATTACACAAGGCATATTCTCAAACTCAAAACTCGGTTTTTAAAATCTAAATTTTGTTTAAAGTTTCCTGCTCAGGTTGTATCAGTTGGATTTACATATTTTAACTCTGTCAGTTCTCTGCTGAAGGAATATACATAAAACTAAGTATTTAGAGCGCTTCGCGCCACCTTTTCCAGTAACTATTTTACAAAATGTTGTTTTCTTGCATTGAAAAAGAATTTAGAGGATTTTTCAGAATTTCAGAAGCTGTTTTAAAGCCACTGAAAATTTGTTTTTCACTAATGTATATAAAATTTACTTCGACAAAGGAAAGATATAGAAAACCCTTTCATAAAAGCGATTTAATCAATCATTTTCAGATCCTTCTCAGTTTTTAGTCTTGTAACGTAAAATTTTTGAAAAATCTCGATTTAGGGAGGATTGCAATGTTGTAAAGCAGATCAAAAGATAAAAAACTTAATTAATTATAACAAACAATGCCCCAACCCACGATAACATTCCTATACATATATTGCAGACTGCATGCAGTACATTGGTTCAAGGGGGTCATTTCTCTTCATTACTACTGCAGACATGTCTTGTTTTTTATATATCTATCTATCTATCTATCTATCTATCTATCTATCTATCTATCTATCTATCTATCTATCTATCTATCTATCTATCTATCTATCTATCTTTCTATCTATCTATCTATCTATCTATCTATCTATCTATCTATCTATCTATCTATCTTTCTATCTATATATCTAACTATCTACATATCTATCTAAATGCAGGGTGTCCCACGAAACATGACAATAGCAAGACGACTTGAAAGTCGTCTTTGATATATGAATTTATTTGTGACATTTAGTCTTCTATCTACTTTAACATGTATAATTCTTGAAACAATTATCACATAATTCTCCTAGCCCTAACATTTCCAAAAAGTGGTCTGCGTTTTTTGTGCTTTCAATATTACCGGAGATATAAAGAGTTTGGTTCAGATTTCAATTTTGTTAAATAAAAGCGAAATTGTCGAAATCTGAACGAAATTCTTTATATGTCGGGCAATATTGAAAGCACAAAAAAGGCAGACCACATTTTGGAAATGGCAGGACTAGGGGAGTTTTGTGATTATTATCTCTAGAAATTTACTTCTAAAATTAGGTTGACAAATAAACACAGCAAATTATATCAAAAATCAAGACGACATTCAAGTCCTCTTGCATACTGTCATGTTTCGTGGGACACCCTGTATCTATCCCTTTTTCTATCTATCTTTCTATCTATCTATCTATGCAATCTATCTATATATCTATCTATTTAGCTATCTGTATATCTATCTATTTAGCTATCTATATTTCTATCTC